ACATGGGTGCTCTGATGACAAGATTATCTTGATTTCAGTAAACTTTTATCTTGCAGTTCAAAAGATCATTTGCAAATCAGAGGCCTAGAAGTTACAACTCATTTTCCAAACAGATATATAGCTTCTAATTACTGGTGATATTTTCATTCTGGTTTACAAAGGTTGATTAATCCAAAACTTAGCATCTAATTTTAAGAGTGAAAATAACATGTTAATAGTGCAGCTTAAAACCCAATTCTGAATCTTACTACTGATAGTTGTGCTGTCATAGACTAAATACAAGATACAGTGGGACCCCCAAACTTCAGGAGTAAACTGACTACAAATGATTAATGGGAGTGCCTGTTAAATACATAGCTTTAGCTCTGAGATTTTGATTTGATAGCCCAGCACAGGATCTGAGCTCATGTTTGCATTATTTTCCCAGATCATTCTTACAGCTAGGTTTGGGAATAACTAGCAACTTCTTTAAGTTTAAGCTTGTATACCTGTCAATCTGTGAGAATTAAATGAAAAATTACATAATATGTACAGTTTGCTTGATGGAGAGAATGCACCAAGTAAATGTTAGCTATTTTGATTGTTACTACTACCACCCCAAAAGCAATTTCCAAATATCACAATATTCCTAAAAGCAAAATTCTTCACTATAACTTTTAGGCTTTATATTTTTTTTTTATTCTTACAAAAATATGTGCTTCTGGCAACAAATCAAACAATATATACATATAACAGAAAATTTATAATTTTACCCTTTCCTCTTCTGATTATGCTTCCCTGAGAAAAGCAATGTAAACAGTTAAATATGTACACTTTCACATATTTCTCAGTCTATACATACCATGTGTGTGCATGTACACATACACACACACACACCCCCACCCATGTTACTTTAAACTTGTATGATAAATGTCAGAGTCATCCTTTGGGGTTTTTTCTTTCTTTAAATCATATACACCTTTAGTCATATTAATTGCTTTCCCCCCTGTTTTGTTTTTATTTTCCCCCGTTTTATTTTACAAGTAATATACTATTGTAGAAATTTAGCAAATATAATAAACATAAAATAATAATCACTTATAACTTTGTCCACCATCATCTTTGGGTCTTGTTAAAACTGCACTAGAAGACATCTGTTTTGCCTATTGAGAATCTATCTTTCCTCATTCTCATATCAGCAACACAATTTTCCTTTGGGAAATCCTGCCCTCTGCCCACCCCCGTTCAGTTTAGGCTATTTAAACAGGATTGGCTTTGGCACTGAGCTAGAGGGATGAACATATGATATGGTCCCCTTGCCATAGAGACTGCTTCAAGAATTGGCACATGACTCAATCAGGTCAACAACATCTGTATCTCTGCTTTAACCACAGGGAAAGATGTGTTTCCACTGGGGTTATTAAATCAGGAGAACATAAATTATCTCTACCCACTGCTTAAGAAGAGTTGCCTGGAAATAAGATCAATATAAAGAAAGTAGAGATCATAATGAAGATTAAAGACAGATGTTCTCCAGATGACACTGTTCAAAGATTTCATGTAGTCATGCATTAAGCCAATCTATCTCTTGATTTTTTTTTTCCTTTTTCATTCTTGAGTTTCTTATGTACATGTGCCAATTAATATCCTTTTGGGTTTATTATACAAGTTAGAATTTCTTTTGTGTTAGTTTTAACGTTATTCCATAATATAGACCTATAGTAACTTCTCAACAATTCCCTTTTTGAAACGTAGTTACATTGTTTTTTATTTGCCTCTATCAACAATGGTGTAACAATTATCTTTTTATTTATGATATTTTAATTACTATAGGGCAGAAGTATATGTCAGGAAATAGCAGAAAAGATGTTAAACTAAGTAAACTATGTTAAAACTATGGATAACCTTGAATGCCTGACTATAGAACCTGAACTTTATATGAGGGCATCAATGGAGCTATGTAACACACTGAAAGAGATAAGATTATATTTATATTGGAAACAGCCTCCAGAGTCAATGTTAAGATGACTTGGAAGTAGCTATCTGGGAGGATAATGTTGCATTATTATAGGTATGAGCTACTAACAGTCTCCACAATGGCAGTGGGGGAAAATGGTTTAAAAGACATTTCCAATGTACCTAACAGTAACATCAAACCATTAAAATTCAATTAAAAATAAAATATATTGGGCCTCCCCGGTGGCGCAGCGGTTGAGCGCTGGGTTGCGAAGCTGCCCGAAGCCTCTACAGCGCTGGTTCGATCCCCGGCAGCTCCCAGGCCACTGAAGGAGGGTCCCACATGGCGCACAGACCTCTCCTGCTGCCCGCTGCTCCCCTCAGCAGTGTACTTCGGTCCTTCTGCCTGCTCTGCTCCCTGCTCTCACTCTGGTGAATTCTCTCACCGTCCCGCGCTTCTGACTGTACCCAGTGCTTGCATAAATAAATAAATAAATAAATCTTTAAAAAAAAAAAATAAAATATAAATCTAACAGCAGCTTCTGATAAAGGAATAACACTAGGTAGTCATTCTGAATCACGTAACTATTGGGCCAGGCACATGATTTGACTTAGTTAGGGATAGCCAGAAATCTTCTGGCTGGCCAGCACCTAGCATTAAAAGTTTTGCAAATAGAGATAATTTTCAGCTGAATCACATCCTTTTACTGGAATTCTAAGTGTGAAATACTGAGGTAATGAAAGAGTTACTAGCTGGAGCTAAAGTTGAAGGGATATAGAAAGAGGAAAATCATGTGGCAGAATTGAACATAAAGCCGAGAGCAAAAGAGCATAAATTGGCTCCAGAATGAATAGCCATTTAGTTTAGTCTGTATTTGGGCAGACTCCACTATAATTTATGATTTCCCTAAGGTCTATCTTCTTGAGAAAATTAGAATGATGCCTTTGCAAAATTAAAAGCCTAACTAAATAACTGAATTGATTTGCCAAGATATCACAGGTAAATCAGACCTGGTTACTAATAATATGGAGCATAAGGAAAAGAGGGAAGAATTTTAAATGATTAGGTTTTTTTAGAGTGGGAAAAGATGGTGATGCTACTGAGAAAGTCTGATTTGACTATATACTGAATTAAGTTTTGGACATGTCAAATCTTCAATGTCTACGAAATACCTGTAAGTTGACTGGAATCCACAGTTCAGAAAACATTAACTAGTGCACATGGTAGTCTATGCCACAGAAACATAAAATTATCAAATGAGAAATCAGGCCTAATTGCTCTTTGACAAAGTTGGTTCTACAGAGATAAGGCCTTCACTATCTTTTGGACTTCTACATAGGAACTAGGCCTTTCTCTGCCCAGATCCACATTTTACATCAGTTGAAAATGAAGACCAGGATGAACTTTTTGTAGATCTGAGTAAAAAACTCAAAGGATTGGAAAATATGAAATTAGAAGTTCTATCCAAAAACAAACAAAAAACCCCAACAACCCTCAAATATAATCTATAAAGAACTGTATAGTCCACAATAAACACTTTATGTGAGTGGTAAACAGCATAGTTTTTATAAGCACCTATCCCTCTTTTTTTAAACATTGAAGAAGCAGATTGAAAAAACAAACTCATCTAAGATTACACAACTAATAAGCAGCAGAGCCAGAGATCCTTAGTACTCTCAAGTCACTGATTCAATCCAACAGAGGGTATCTTTATCATGCCATTCTACTTCTCTTTGGTGTATTCTAGACCACTCCAGACAAGGAAGGCTATCTTACAGTTTCTGATCCTAAAGAAAAAGAAACCCAGCTTTGAGGTTTTCCAGAAATCTCTGCTAGGTTTAAACTAACAAGAATATAAAGGGGAGGAAGACATATATCTCTCTTTCTCATCAATGATTCACTTTTAATTATTTAGACAAAATAAGTCAAAATACACTGTTTGTATTAAAGGTTTGGCTGGAATACAAACATCTAAAGTGTAAAGTTAAAAATTACCTTATTCAATTTTATCTCAGAAGAGATAAAAGATCGAGAGAAGATTTTCATGGGAAAGTAAAGAGATATTACTCAAAGCTGTTAAAGAGGAGAGCTAAGGATATATGCAAGTTTCCACACACTCTTGATTCTCTAAAACCTTGTTCTTGGAACTTCCTAGTCTTAACAATTTCTAAATTAAACAAGTTTCACAACTTCTACCTTCACTCCTCTCCCACTATTTCTCAAGCTCTGTTTCCTACACACTGCCAAGTTTTTGTCACCCATGACCTTCGATCTACTAACATAATTCCTCAATTTATATAAAATTCATGAAACTCGGAGATTAACCTTATAGCTAGTGAAGACAGAACTAAGCACAGTTCTCGAGACTCCAAAATCAACGGTCACTTTATTGTATCACATTGTTCTAAGATTCAGTTACCATGAGTTTACAACATACTAAAATAAGAATAAAACTAACCAAATAGTGTCACTCAAAAAGATGCAGAATGAGCCAAGAAAAGACAATGACTGGGAATGTAATATAAATATCATATCTGCATTAAGGAAAAGTCCCCAACATTTCCAGAAAGGTTTTTTTTAGAAACTAACCTTGACTGAAGACAGTATGAACAAACACAATCAATTTTTTAGGCTGTCACCTGTGTCATCCTCATAGAGATTTCCAACCATTTCTATGAATTATTTGTGATTTAACACTGATGCTGAATTACACACACATATTGAAATGTTCTCAGCTTTAAAAAAAAAAGCCTAATTATCATGTTGTGGGTATTAATCAGAATAAACATGAAAATAAATTTTTTTTAATCTTGATAATTAATCTATAGTAAGTAGTATAAAAATTGATGTTAGAAAGAGAAACCACTATGAAATAGGTAATCTAAAAAGCAATTTCTAACATTCTGAACAAAATTTTTGGATAGGAAGTTCACCCAGCTTTATTCTCTCAGGTACTTGTGTGCAAGTCTAGGTAAGTCAAATGGGCAAACCTCAAACTAGCTGTCTCTTACCTTTGCTACCATTTTAAAAACTCTTAAGAGAAACTAAAACATAGTATTCTTACCTCCTCGCAACATAATAAAATATAGGATTCCCAGCTTTAGAAGTCCCAGCTTGGTAGAAAATACTTAATGTTTTCAAAGCCTTAAACTCCTCTTTTTCATGTACTTGATGCCTGAAAGACAAAAGAATAGAGTAACTCATAGGCTTAATATTGTCCATTGAATGTTTACAAAAATCTTGACGGAACCAGATCAATGATAAAATATACAAACTGGCAAAATATTTAAAAAGCAACAGGTTTCCTGTAGGCCAGCTTGGCAACATGTACCAAAAATTTCAAGGGACTACTCTGTGAATCAGGGTGGTTCTTAGGAGTATCCTAAGAAAACTAATGGAACAGTGATATTAACCATAGAATTGTTTTTAATTGTGGCATTTTTTTTGAGACAAGTCTTTGAGTTTTCATTTATTAATATTTTAAGTATTCAATTCATCTATGAAAAATGAAATGAAAGGTCTAAAAATGAGTTTCTTTCAGTTCACAAATTAAATCACTGAGTCAAAGTATATATTCACGGATACTTTATCAGTATATTGAAATATACTGCATTTTCTGATCCTCAATGTAAGAGAGTTAATATCATTAACATTAAGGAGGGATCTAAAAATGTTACCATGGTAGAAAGAGTTCAGCATTTAAAAGCCAAGAACCTATGAATTAGGTGTGAAATCTTAAGCAGATAGTTCACACTGAATCATATTTTCCTTAACTAGAATATAAAAATATTACCTGCTTTTCCTCACAAGTATTAAATGCAAATTACCTCAAAGCAACATCATAAACTACTGCTCAATAAGATACTATTAAATAGGAAAACAGACTATATATAAAACAAACTATAAAAGAAAGTACGTATCAATTAATATATAGAGTAAGTTAAAAGCGGGATCTCAAAAGAGGCAAATACAATTATAACTTCCCCAATAATCTCCTATTAGAAATACAAGTATATCTAACAAGTGGTCTGGTGCTAAACTCTGCAATTCAATCAAAAAGAAAGTAATCATCATTTTAAGGTGGTACTTTACCTAGTCATAAATTCCTCAAACTTTGAACTGGTAAGGTTAAGGCTGGACCAGTGTGTATCAGCCACAGGTTTGTGTTCTGGAGGACCCAGGTATGCAAGAAGTGTTGCCATCTTATCAAAAGGTCTTCTTCCAACAGCTTTATGATCCCTAGACACAGCAAATCACTTAGGAAAAAAGTAGCAGTTCACATTTAGCAGTACACATTTCTTTGTTGCTTTTTTCTTTATTGTCAACTGATACTCCCTGCTAATATATACACTACCAAAAAGACCTCAGCAGTTATGTGTATACACCAAAACATCTTTGGAATGTGATCACTGCCTAAACTACAACATTTACATAGAAATTTTTTTCTAGTATTTTTAAAAAAAGATTTATTTATTTATGCATATAAGAACTGGGGTATAGGCCAGAGGTGTGGGGGGTGAGAGGATTCAACAGAGACAGAGTGGGGAACAGAACAGGCAGAATGACCAAAATACACTGCTAAGGGGAGCAGTGGGCGAGACAGGAGAGGTCAGGAGAGGTCTGCAGTGCCCTGTGGGCTGCTCCGCGCGGCAGATGGGGATCCAACCCGCACTTTAGAGGCTGTGGACAGCTTCACAGTGCTGTGCTCAACCACCTGCGCCACCAGGGAGGCCCTTTTTCTAGTATTCTTAATACTTTACCATTAAGTGGCCAATCAGTGAGTAAAAATAACATTTTAATCAACTTTTTCTCGGAATGAAAGAATCCACATTAAGAAACCACTTTTTAGAAGCTGGACATATTATCCCTAGTATCAGATTTCTGCTAAACCAGATAAATGAAATTTTCAACAACTATTAGATATTTAGTATCTGTAAGAATAACATGATGCTATTTCACACACATCAAATTGGCAAAAATTACGAAGTCTGCTAATGCCAACTTGGTGATGATCTGTATAAAGGGGTTAAGATGCAACCTATTAAGTTATCCGCAGCCACTGCAGCACCAGTTCAATCCCTGACCAGGGAGCTATCCACATGGCACAGCAGACCTCTCCTGTCTCACCCGCTGCTCCCCTCAGCAGTGTATTTCAGTCAATCTGCCTGTTCTGTTCCCCAGTCGTGCCTGGTGAATCCTCTCACCCTCCCCCCCGCATCTCTGGCCTGTACCCCAGTTCTTGTATGCATAAATAAATAAATCTTTAAAAAAAAAGAAGCATTTTCACATAGTGCTGGTCAAAATATAAGGTGGCATGCACTAATAAACTAGAGTCTGTGTACCCTAGAACCGGCAGTTACACATTTAGGTAATACACAAGGAAAATATGAAAAATAAAAAATCTCTGTAGCATCAAACTACAGAATATCTGAACTATGAAAGAGAAGTAAATATTTGCTTTTATAATTTCCACAGTTTTAGTGTCATGTAGATAAAGCACCTTCATCTTTCCATTTCAGGGCACTATCTACTCCAATCTATTAACAATTCATCATACTGAAAAGCTCTCTTGTTTAGATTCCCATCTCCTAATTGCTTAGCCTTAATTTCATGATCTTTTATCTTTCCCACAAACAGTTAACCACTTCTATTGGCTTTTAAAGATAATCTGGACTCATATTACACCTTTACAAGAGAACTCATATATAGGAATTTGGAGCTATTAGAGACACACATAACTACAATGAATAGCAAGTGATTCAGGCTGTAAGAAATAGCTAAAGGCAGCTAGTGAAACTCAAAATTAGTAATTTTAATTATTTAGCATTTTTCTTTAAAGTTTTATTTGCATATACTTAAGAATATCACAAATAGGTTTATCACAGAGTAAACATTGTTGTTTTAATTATTAAAATTCCTAAGAATTAGATTGAGATGTGAATACTCATTTGATCTTCTAATAAATTCAAACATCTCTATGCCTTGTTTTACATTATGTCTGACAGTTTGCAAAGCAGAAAAACCCAAAGGGTTAATTTTAATCTCTTGATATAAAAAAAAGAAAGTCTTTGACCCCTAGGTGGGTTTTTTGATCATAAAACACGAGGTCATCTTTTGCCTATATTTTTAAAGAGTTGACATTTCTACACTCCTCTTTCTAAATTATAATTCTTATTCCAAGAAGGTGCAAAGCATAAAGTACTATTCATGACCAGTAATTTTACTAACAATTTAAACTAAGTTTTCAATATCCCCATGACTGAGAAATCTTACCTGTTGCTGGAAAGATACTGGCCAATTTTTTCTTGATTATTCCAAAGGAGACGATGTAAAGCAAGCACATTGCCATCACTGATGAAGGAAAGACTATGATTTACCGCATCACTTGTAGGACAATCAGACGCGATATCAAGGAAGAACCTTCAAAAATGTAAAGTCATTAGAATTTTTAAAAACAGACACATTCATATCTCTTTGAATTAAATTTATATGAAATAACTCTGTGAAACAACAAATTACAAATACACAGAGTTTGATGACACAATGTGATTGCCATTAAATAAAAAAAGAAGAGACAGGGAGAAAGTTGGTTTTTCATTTCCGGTGATTGGCTTCAGTTTTAAAGTAGGCTTTGGAGATAGACAACAAGAAAATTTAGGTGGATGAGACTTTAGAGATAAACTACTTTACAGATATGGAATGAGAGTCTGAGACTAGACAAAAGGTCTCCAAGACATTATATAGTCTGCTAGGTCAGTTCCAGCATCAGAACATTTGTTCTCGATTTTCTGTAGTCAATCTACTAGAATATGAATCCTATGCTGACATTCATTTTCTTTCTAACAAGTTTTGCAATCAAACAATACACACCTTTTAAACTCCAATTTCCCTAACAGAAGTTGACATGCACTATAACAAGAAACTGGGAGAAAGAGCTATGCAAGTATGTATCAAGACTATAATTCAGATCAGTTAGATCTATAGTACAGGTAAAGCAGGACCATGGAAATTAACTTACATTTACAAAACACTCTCATAAATTATTTCAATGATTTGTCTAAAATCAATCAAACAGGTAAACAAAGTATTATCACTACTTTGTAGATAAACCAGTAACTCAGAGTGAGAAAGGGAGGCAATAGATAATTATGGAAATCCAGCATAATTCAAGTTTTCTAAAATCATAAGACTTTTAACAGTTGTCCAGTTATTAATGAAAAAATCTTATGCGTCTATAATATCTGGTTTAAAGAATAACTTTTTAGTATAGACACACTTCCAAACTGAACACAAAAATATTCTAGCATCTGATTATACACTATTATGCATTATCAATACCATTTGGGTTTTAGAAAAGCAATCTTTTCTTTTTGCTCTCCATATTGTAACAACCTCAAATCCTTTATTTTAATAGCTATGTCAAAAATACTGTTTTTCAAACATGGAAATCACTACTAAATTATTAAGAATATGGATTTATATCATCACTCTCTTTTATAGTAAAATAAGATTAACCATCTCTTGACCTAGCGAGGGAATAGAAAAAAATCCTATACAACAGCATCATATAAACCAAACACACAGAATTAAGTGAAACTGAAAATACTCAGGATTCAAACAGAGCAAACAAGCTGCTTACCTTCGTGCTGCATCAAAGTTGCTTTTCACAAAATCATTGAAAGGTCTCATATGCTCTTCTTTTGTAAAAAGAACATGGTTGGCAATACTCTGAAGTATCTAAACAATAAAAAAGGGTTCTAAAGAATCAGATTATATAACATATGAAGTCTACACATTTATATATTCTTCAAAAATATGAATTTTGTCATTGATAATTTCTACTGGTGGTTAAATTCTATTATTTCTCATACTATAAATACTAGGTGTTGTTTCTCTTTTTCCTCAAATTATTACACATACATATTTGCACATACAAAATACATATTAAATTTTTAAATTTTTCTAAATGAAAAATCATATACTATCATATACTATACATTCATATACTGTATCATATACTATACATTCTCCATTTCAGAATTTCCAGAACGATAGCAAGCTATCTTCAGAAGACGTTTACAAAAACATTTCCCCATGATAATAAAACCCATCAGCTAGCAAGTTAATAAATTCCTACTAATATAAACAAAAATAAGATAAAATCATGTAAGTGAAAACCACAGGGCATTTTTAAAATACATTTCAAAAGTACAGTGAAATGAAAAATTTATAATTGGAAGAGAAATTTAGTTAATTATAAAAATAATTCTTCACCTTTGACATTAACTTCAAGCCCCTTTCAATTCTAGGTGGTGGCTTTTTATCTAAAATCCCTGCTTCATATGGTGAGACAATGGCAGGATTGATAAATCTGAGGAACATGGCACTTCCTACTGCACCGATGCTGTTCTGAGGGAAACGCTGGCTAACCACCTAAAAACAAGGAGTTGAAAAATGAATATATGGTTTAAATTAAAACAAGGAAAAGGGAAGAATAAGCTTGAAGGTCAACTTAGCATAAAAACTCAGAAAAGACCAATCTTCGTGAATTAATACATTTCTGTGTTCCTACTTCCAGAACATCAGTAAGTAAAGTTTATTCTTAGTTCTTACTGTCCATCATTTTAAAGCACAATAAAGGTTACCTACAAAAAGAAAAAAATCTCATGGATGAATTGTGTAGAAAAGACCTGAAAAATTATCCTAATTTTATCATCATTGTACTGCAGACCAAATTTTCACATTTAGATTATATTTCGGTAAGATTTATAGATATGAGAATGTGCTTAACTATGCTATGGTAACTCTAAGTTTTCAACAGCACACCCCTGAAACATCCTATTCCTAACAGTAAATACTTACATTTTGTTGTATACCAGGTACAATTCAATTTCTTGAGCAAAATGGTTGCAATATACAAACAAAATTTAACTTTTTTAGATTCCTACTGAGAAAAAATATACTTACAAGTAATGTTACTACCAGTTCATTTTCTTCACCAATTTGAAGGCAAAGTAATAGGTAAGTTAGATTAGGAAAAGTTATGAAACTGGCTCAGCTCCCATCTCTTCCCAGGGCCTACTGTTTAAAATTAAGTTAACATATGAAAATTATACTATTCTAAAATTCACATTTTTACATATACTACACACTTATTTTTAAAGAACACGTAAAAAACATTTCAATCTCTTCAACTATTCTTGCTTGATGTGATTAACTGCTGCTTAATGCAGTGGTAACTACAAAGGTGGAACTGGAGCACTCCACTCAATCTTCTGGGATTCTGGGGATAAACATGATTTTCAAAGGATGTTGGTGGAAAATGAAAAAATAGGATTTATCTTTCAATCTCACATAAGTCTTCTTCACAATACCTCAATAAAGTAATCCTCCTGTCACGAATTCACATGGCCCACTAACTCCAGATTAACTCTGGTAAGAATAGGATTATTTAGTTCATTTTATTCCATTTAGTGCTTCATGTGGCATGCATTTTAAATGTATTGACCACCTAAAGCCTCAAAACAATTTGATTGGGAGGCAGTAAAAATAAGACTTTAGAGAATGATTTTTTTAGGCCAAAGAAAACCTTTGTATCAGAGGTGAGTTATAACTAATATAGTCTCACTTTCATTTCTGCTATGTAGCGCGGGAAGCTTTCTTCCTGTTATAGTACTTTGGTTGCTAGTGCATGAAGAATAACCCTAGCACTTGCATAAGAGGAAACTGCTCAAGATAGCTAACTATAGCAAACTTAGAAGAATGTCTTAAAAACCAAATACTGCTGTAGAGTTATTTTTAACCAAAATATGATTTTAGAAATAGAATTAAGAACATTCAAGTGCTTTTATGATTTTAGTAGCATGTTCAAACTTCTGGGGACTAGAAACAGAAAAAAGAATGTATACATTCACAGATAAAATTCTTCATGCAATTTCAAGATATTCAGACTACCAAATTTTAATTTTAAAACAGAAGAAAAATATCAACAAATCTACAAAAACAAAATTTTAAGGAGTGAGCAAGAAGGAAGAGAATTAAAACTGCCTTATATTTAATTTTAAATATGTTGTTTTAAAATAATTAGCATAAATTTAGTTTAATAATGCAAATCGTTTAAAAGCTAAGAGCAAAGGACCAGTTAATTTTTTAAAAGACTAACCTGCTTGGAAGTATCTCATAACACTTTACATGCATATGAAGAACTCTTTAAAATTATTTTTGAAAGTAGCTATTTTTATTTCCAGTAAAGATTTAAAGTGTTCACATAATTATTATTAAGATTCACATTAATACCTGATTTATAATCAATACTACTCAGTCTCAGATTTAATGAAAATCTGAATTATTTTTGCAAAGAGACAATATTGTAAAATATATGAAAGTAACTTCACTATTTTCCGTATCTTCAAAATAATTAATGCTAAAACTCAAAGTACCCATACTTCAGGAACATACATGTTTTACGTGCCATATAATAAAATGTCTCACTTATGCTAGTATATTTTTGGAGCTAAAACTTGATAAAACATAATCAGTATTAAGTAACTATAATAAATTTCATGAGTCAGTTAATGAAAAATACATCTCTTAGCACCAACGTAATTTTACCTCAAATATACACACAGTGTTGTTTTATTTTTTAATTCAAAAATCTAAAAGATATTCTGCATGAAAGGTAAAAGTTCGGTTGGTCTTTATGCTGAAGTCTACTGTGAGACAAATGTCCTTTTTACTCCCTTTAAAGTTGAACTACATGTTACAAGCAAATGCAGTTCTAAACTATTCATCAGTAAGAGGATCACTACCTATACTGCTTAACTACTACAAATGCTCCCTATGTAGAAAATTAAATTTTCAAAAGATATCCAGTTACAATGTCAGCATATAAACAGCATAATTATCTGTACTAAAACCACACAGCTATATCTACCAGAGGTCAGAACCTTCTTCATATATTTTACACATTCCAATCCATAATATATATATATATATATATATATCTCACAAAAGCTTGCTTTTAAAAGAAACAATCATTGGATTCTGTTAAGCAAACAACTCCATAAACCAATAATTTAAATCTACAATGACCATACTGTCTTAAAGCTTTGGAATACAATCTAAAATAACTCAAATTACCAATTACATTCCCTTTGTTTCCAGGACGACCTCAAATGACCTGTACTGAGTAATACATTTCCAATACTTAATATTATACCCAAAACCTTTTTAAAAATCTGAAAATAATGCTAATAGAAAAAAAAACAATTCAAGAAAATAATTTCAGATAAAATATTAATAAATAAAGCATTATTAGGAAGGCTAGGAAAAAACATGCTCTAGTGAAACAGAAAGGTTGAATTTTAATTTATGTGATATACTACACAATGGCATAGGGTAACACTGGACAAGAGTGTTAAGACACATAAATTAATTTCAACGGTGATGGTGTATATTATGTTAAATCCACATTTAGAGAATTAGAAGGCTGAAGCATTAGAAAGAAATGTTTTTATTAAGCAAGAAAGCCATCCAATCCAATCCATTTGCTCATAACTGACCAAAATTACTTAACATACTCAAAAAAATTCCTGCATGGATTAAAAAAAAAAATTCTCTGTAAATTCTTAGCTCTGAATTTAAAACAAATTTATTTTATGTGAAGCTTAGATAAGGAATGAAAGATGAAACCAGATGAATACTATATTCTAAAATATATATTCTACTTTATTCTATATTCTACCTTTTAAAATAAACTACCTACATGACTCCAGAAAAGGTTTTCTTTACATCTTTCTCTGAAATAATTTAGATTAAATGAAAAAATAATACTCGGCCTGATAAGGATAACTTATAGTAATGGCAAATTAAAAATGAATGCATATTATATTTTGGACAAATTGCACTCACCGGAAGAAAATAATTATGACTACCATAATTTTCTTCTCCTTTTTATATTAGGACACATTCATAGAAGCAGATAATAATATATTTATATAATGTTTACAAAATAAAGTGAAAGCTTGTGTACAAATATGGACTCACTGACTTTTCCTTCATTTCAAAAGTACTAAATTCTCAATCCCAATAGTTTGATAATGATTTTCTCTAAAATAAAGAGTTTTGCCATTAGGATTTTTATAATTTAAGCACAAATAACTGAATTCTGGCAGAAACTGCCTTGATAAAAATATAAGTAAAAAATAAAATATAGCAACTTTTAGGTAAGATTTAGAAAGTGACAGTTTCCTTTCTTCTAACAATTTAGAAAAATGTTCACTTCTAGGAAAAGAAACCACTCACATTACCTGCAAACCAGAAGCAAGAATGAAGAGAGTCAGTGCTTCCTAAGGCCTTGAAATTAAGTTCCTTTTGCATTCATTTATAGTTTTAAATACAACAGTAATAAAATTAAACCAGGGATATTCAAAGCACAAATGTCCCCAAAATGCCTTTGGGCTAAATCAAACCAAAGGAACACAGAGAATGTTTCAATGTAACTTAATTCCAGGGTTAATCGAAATGAAAGCTATTTTGTGCCAGAATTAGTAGAATGATTTTACAGTGAAGGTCAAATAGGCTGAAGTGAAGATGTTCTTAACAAACAGCAAAAGATTTTTGTTTTGCTTTGAAAGAAACAGCTAATAAAAAGTTCTCCAAACTTACTGATTTTTTGTTTTCCTTTTTTTCTTTTACTGTAGCTTTATTCAGTAGGGAGTGGCAAGTTGCCTACAGAACAGAGATGAGCACAAACAAGTCACAGCACCAACTACATACAGCAACAAAAACAATGTTGGCTTGTACATAAAATTACACGATAAAATGTAACACAAATGGAATCAACAAAAAAATTAGAAATCAACTAAATTTTGAGAGATAAATTTTATTTCTGGATTTTTATTTTTATTACATTTTAAAGCCAAAGCACTACATTAACGGCAAGAAATGCTGAGACAATCATATCTACTATTTCTGGCTATAAATCATAAAAAAAGGTCTCCTCCAGTGAATTTGAGGATATTTAATTTTTACATTTCAGTTAATTCCTAGCTTTTGATGAATTTTATGTAAAATGTTCATTAAAAGTAGATCACACACTAAAAGCACTTCCATGTGTCTACATAATTTTTGTTGATACATAAGATACTTCTCTGTGTATCCTTCAATTGACTTAAAGTTCTTTTTTGCTGATATCTGACTTTTAAGTTCCTATTGATTAAAATTTTTTTAAATGGCTAAATATAATAGAAAATTCACCTTAGCGATTCTGGATTAAAAATCTCTCCAAGAAAGATTTCTCTAAAATTTTATACATTTTTCTATTTGCAGGCTACTTCCTAAAAAAGTTCTAATCAGAGGAGGTTAAAAGCTCTGCAACATTTGGGAGAAGAATGTTATCAGCTTAAATAAAAATACACATTAATAAATATTAAAGTGAAGAAACTGCAGAGAAAACTATAGACTAAAACTGTAAATCTACTTAAATTTTTTTCACATTGATCAGAATGTCTCAAAAAAAAAAAATTGAAAAACCTACAGAGATTGGTTTCATCTCTCAGAGCTTCTTCTAGGCCAAAGAGTTCTTTTAAAATTGAAAGAAAACTCCTGACTGGACTAGGCAGAACAATTATTTTTCAAATATTCTCAAAATGAAATTAGAATTCTTTAATCTACTATACACGGAATTTTATTCTAAGAAATCTGTGAATCTAACACCATGACCCATAATTTGAGTTTAAAGTTAGTTCAGCATTTTTCCATCCATCCGTCCATACATCCATCCGAGTAGTTATTATGCACCTACATGCTAGATATCAACTCTATGCACTGGGAGACAGTAGTAAAAACAAGACAACACAGCCCTTACTTAACTCATGGAGCTTTGGTTCAAATTTTAGGCTACATGTGAAAACACCAGTAGTAAATCACAAAAATGCAGTTCTATAGATTTTTTTTCAATTATGGTACATAATTATCATTTGTAGATTTTAAAATTTTGTGCAAACTAGTTCTATTTGGAGAAGCAGATTTACTGGTAAAAGATGACATGTATTTAGAATCATAATATTTAGTTCCTTATCAGAATTCTCTCACCATAACTTAAGAGAATGTCCATTCTGGGAGTCATTTTCTCATTATTCCAAAACTATCAGGAGGAAAAGTAGAAGTATATGACAAAATGCCTTAATTATAAATCTGATACGTGTTCACTGTTGGCTTTTTTTATATAACCTGAACCCAGTCCAATGAGTAAGGAGATATATAAAATATGAGAGCTGGATAAAAAGCATGATTTGAAAAAGGCTTACACGGCAAAAATATGAACTTGAGTATAAAGAGCTAAAAGCTCAGAGAAGTTTATTCACCAGCAATATACTCACTTAGCTTTCAAAATTTCCCCAAAGGTCCCAAAGCAGAAGCCATATTTACTAGAGGAAAAAAAAACAATCGACTACTATCCCTCCCAGCAAAACATAAAAGTAGAAAGGCACTGTTAAGTTATTGCCACAATCAAAAGGGCAAGAAAAAGCCAGAAGAGGGAAGATGAATAAAAATAAAAGAGCAAACTAAAGGGAATAACTCATTGTCAAGGAGGCTCAATGAAAGAATATGTTGGGATCAAAGGTTTTTTTCCGTTCTTTTTAACAAGTAAATGTAAAATTTCCTGTTATCAGAAACTCATAAAAAACCAAAGCCTTATTTATAAATAATATAGCATATGTTTGCTTCATGGTATTCCACACTGTAACAGTTAATTCAATACTTCAAAACAATGCATTGACACAACATTCAAGTAACATTTTTAAAGAGAATTAACTGTGAAATTTTTAATGTGATAGTTCAGGTATGTCATTAATACAGGATGTTTTATTATAAAGCGCTTTAAAAATGTACAACATAATGTTTAACTGGCAACCAATTATTACGTAACTCTGACTTGTTTTCACTACTTCCCCCTTCCTTCCTAACTATGAAAGCTGGTGAGAATCTTATTTACTTTGTTGGGAGGGGATGGAGTAATTTACCTTCACTAAATATGTCCTAAGTACTTAGTAAGTGCCAAGTCCTATTCTTTTTACCTTATCAGAACCATGATCTCAAATTGGACTCCAAGTTTGCCGATATCACAAAAAATTTTCTTTTATGATGACAACATAAAAAATTTCTACGAAAATCTTCTAAATCAAGCAATCAGAACATCTGTACCCATTCACTTTTAAGCAGCTAATGTCGAAACCACTGCCACCTTAGATACCCATTTGCTCTCTCTGAAAACAGTTGGCCAACCAGGAAGCTGATTCAGATTATTTTTTTAATATATACTCACTGGTACTTATTTGCCTGGTTTTATGAACAGAAGAATTAACAAATGAGATTTAAAAAGAAACATAAATAATACCCAAACATAATATTCACTGTACTGTATTTCCTATTCTAGTTGTATTATAACTTAACCACATTCTAGTCTCAGATTTATTTAGCTGAAAAAATTATGTGAGGTTCTCCTAAGCTTCCTTGAGCTATTTTGAAAAAGCAGGGAAAAAATCGTGATAAATTAAGAGAGTTTTAATGCTAAGTATGCTTTACCATTTCTGTATATGGAGAAAAGTTTTTTTTATAGATACAGCAGATACATCATTATAAATAGCAAATGGGAGGAAACTCACACAGCAGCCTGAAACAGCTTTTTTAAATAATGATTGCTAATGTCTCTAGGCAACTGAAGGCCTGTGTTTAAAAAAAATATAAAAAAATTAAAAGAGTGGGGATGACTCTTCAAAGAAGGAGACACAAAGGGATGGGTTTTGGTAAATGTATAAATTCTCTACACGGACTCCTGTCCCAGACTTCAGATCCACTAGAATTTCTTTCACAATCACAGTTTGAACAGGTTAATGTGAATTTGCATTAATCACCTTTGGAATGAATAAATTATTCCTAAAACTGTATATGCAATTCAAAAACACAATGGAAATCATAAAAGTACAGAGACTTAATTTCCTCAATAAGTAGGTAATGACGAGGCATCTGAACTCAAAAGCATTACTTGTAGGACTAGGGTTAAGAAAGCCCAATAATTTGATTTAAATCATGATACAATATATTTTACAGGTAGCAGTCTACATAAAATAAACCAATTATTCTGTCCTGGGGAAACCTGTTGAGCAAATACTTTACATCTTAATGAAGAAACCAAAATTATTGATCAAGTATTTCAAAACACAGATAGCAAGGAGTAGATCTGCCTCACATGTGAAAAGATCTAGGCAAGAGGTAACACCCAAAACTCCACAGTGTATCTCATTCCAACCATATACATTTATACCCAATAGATACAGTGCATTTTAAACTTGCTCCTAATACATGGGAAACTTACTATTTCTAAAGCATTCCCTTAAAATACTTCAGACCATCTTCTAAGCAATACTAAAATTTTTAAAGTCACTTGCAAAATTCTCAATGTATTACTCACTCAAATTAACTCAAGAATGCTAACCACCCACTAAGAGCAGTTAAATCCCTCTTTGAAAAGCATTCTTCTAATTTAGCTTTGGATTAATAATGGTAATCTCCAACCTCAAACATACCTGGTATAAGCAATGGCATACACTTCGAAGCTGTGGGGGAAATTCTGAGGAGGAACTGATAATGGCATGGAAGAACTTTTCAGTCATCTGAAGGAGATTCCTCTGGTTTTCTTCCAGACTCTCTGACTGTTCTAATCTGCAAAAAGAAAAAATAAAACCATTAAAAACAAACAATCAGGGCCTCCCCAGTGGCGCAGCGGTTGAGTGCTGGGCTGTGAAGCCGCCTGCAGCCTCTGCAGCGCCGGTTCGATCCCTGGCTCCGGCGAGGGTCCCACATGGCACACAGACCTCTCCTGCGGCGCCCGCTGCTTCATCACTCTGCCTATTCTGTATTTCATTACTCTGCCTATTCTGCTCCCTGCTCTGGCTCTGGTGAATTCTCTCACCCTCCTGCGCTTCTGACTGCACCCAATGCTTGTATAAATAAATAAATCTTTAAAAAAAAAAAATCAAAACAAACAAACAAACAATCCTTAAAATAAATCCCTTAACAGTCATTCAGCCAAATGCAATGTGTGGACTTTGCTGGGATACTGATTTTAACAAACCAACTGAAAAAAGACAATTTTGAGAACTGTGTAAGAATGTGTATATTGCTACTCTCACAAATTTAGTATATGACCTCTGGTAAAGTCAGACATGCTTTGATATATTTTGTGGTCATTCAGGTTTCTTCTACCTTGAACTGTCTCTTGTATCTAGTCAAATTGCTAGATGTCCCTTCCACCAATATCTAAAACTCAGAAAACCAGGATTTTTCCTTCTATTTTTCTTGTCTTATGTTGTGCTCCCTGAGCGATCAATGACACCATCACTATCTCAATCATGTCATGCCTCTGGCATGTAATACAGTACATTACCATTACCTCCCACAATCAATCAATTCCGCAAAGTCTTCAGTATTACCTCTAAAGTATGAAGAGTTGTGATTAAATGCAGATTGGGAAGGCAGACGTACTAAGTTTAACTGTCTTACTGATTTAGGCCAATATACTTCAATTTTTTTCCATCAATAAGACAAGAGTATTAATAATGTATAGTTTAGGAGATTTAAAATTTACTCAAGGACTATCAAATCCACAAAGCTTTACACCAGTTCCCCAACTATCATATTCTGAACTCTCAAAATACACTCCCTATGAAACTCACTACTTAACTACTTTCTATATGTTTTAACTTCCCTATTAAACTGTAAGTTCCTTGAAGGAGAGACTTTGTCCTCTTAAAACTAACACAGTATCTTACCAAGGCAAGTGTTGAATAAACACTTGTTTTCAATCTCTTTTTTTTTTAAAGCTTTTTTTTTTTTTTAATACAAGCACTGGGTACAGTCCGAAGCATGGGAGGGTAAGAGAATTCACCAAAGCCAGAGCGGGGAACAGAACAGGCAGACTGACGAAATACACTGCTGAGGGGAGCAGTGGGCGGCAGGAGAGGTCTGCGTGCCATGTGGGACCCTCGACTGGCGGCAGGGGATTGAACCTGCGCTGCAGAGGCTGCAGGCAGCTTCGTAACCCAGCACTCCACCGCTGTGCCACCGGGGAGGCCCTGTTTTCAATCTCTTAACTGGTAATTTTAATTTCTATGCTAATTTACATAATGCATAAATGCTTGTGACACTGAAGTTATCATTCCATATTCCTTGCAGTTCATTGCGTGTAGCACACATATACAGTAAGAGTTTGGAAATTAATGTAGACTATAAAGCAGAAGTGATTTCACAGCACAGGTAAGTTTTAAAGGAGGAACCGAATTTGTACAGGCAAAAAGAAGGGCATTTCAGGAACAAGAATTAGGCAAGGCAGGTACTCGATTCAATCAATACTTATGCATCTACTTTTTGCTAAGAATTCAACAGTTGGTCTTTTTGTTGTTGTTAATGGAAGAACAGAATTTTTTTTTTTCAGCATTTGGCCTCTGACCTCTTCAAAGAGAAGGGACACATATACACATCAAGTAATGAGAGCAAAAACATGAAGTAATGAGAGCAAGAACTCAAAAATACACATGGTTAGGTGGCAAATCAGAGAGACATGAATGGTGGTTACCAGAAAGCCAGAGGCATAAAATAAATTTGGAATATGTGGAAAACTGAAAAGAGATTGGTCTAAATATGGAGACCATATGCAGAGAAATCAGTTAAGAAACTACAGTAGTAACTCAAATCTGTGACATGGAAGGCACAGTAGTTCTGTGGTATGAAAGAAAAGATAATTTATTTAGTAAAGCTAAAGAGATTCCGAAAATGTTGACAATTCTTGTCTCTGTGGGAACTTTTCCTTTAATGAGTCAACACAGTAGTAGGTATGCTGCGGTCTATTTCAGGTGTCCCTCTAAAACACTATCTGTTAGCCACAGAGCTCTTGCCTCCCATATACCAATGATAACTTGACTATTCCACTAATTCTTATCTATAATGAATCTATACGTTCAATATTTAAGTGTTTGTGTGTATAAAATTTTCCCCCAATTGTGAAAGAACTAGTAGCCTTTGTCCTTACAATCTTACTGGTTGCCTGTTTTTTAATTTCGTTGATTTCTAATCTAATTTTCATTCCTTTCCTTCTGCTTGCTTTAGGTTTATACTGCTCTTCTTAACTTTTCTAGGGTGAAACTTACACTATTGATTTTTTATCTTTCGTCATTTCTAGTATATGCATTTGATGCTGGAAATTTCCCTCTAGGCATTGCTTTCATTACATTCCATAAGTTTTGGAAGGTGTAGTTTCATTTTCATTTAGATTTTCTTCTCTTCTTGGCATTTCAGTTTGGGAAATTTCTACTGACAAATCCTCAAGTTCACTGATTCTTTCCTCAGTTGTGACCAGTCTACTGATAAGCCCATTCAAGGCTCTTTTTCCTTTCTGTTACAGTGTTTTTGATCATTCTAGCATTTCCTTTTGATTCTTTTTTAGACTTTCCCACCTATTCTTGCATGTTGTCCACTTTTTTCCTATAAAAGTCCTTATCATATCAATTATTTCAGTTTCATAATCTCTGTCCTATCTAAGTTTAGTTCTGATGCTTGCTTTATCTTTTCAGACGATGATTTTTCTTTCTTTTAAAGCATTTTAACGTGCTTTCTAATTTCTTTGTTGGAAGGCAGACCCAAGTTGTTTTATAGGAATTAAGATAAACAGGTCTAAAGTTTTAGAACTTAAGACAATATTTATTGTAGCTGAAGGTGTCCATTTCTTCTGTCCCTGTTTTTGTTTTTATTGTAGTCTCTGGGTTTCCCTAACAATTTCTTCTTTAATAGTCTCTATGTTGTAGCACTGACAGTAGTAATACAATATTCATATACTAGAATCCTGCTGAAATGGTGATGAGGTATTTAGGAGGGAAAGCAGTCTATAGTCTTATGATTATACTCCATTATTTTAATGAACCACAATTCCTGGGCTAATGTCCTTCAGAAGAGTATCTCAGTTTATTCCCCCTCCCCTTAAGAGACATGAAAGCTAGAGGGGGTTGGAGTTGGCTAAATGTCCATCCTTCAGGTCAGATAAGGGTACAGTAAAGAAGTTTCCATGGGGGCAGCCTTTTTTTTTTTTGTGGGACCCTGGCCAGCTGCCGGGGAACAAACCAGCGCTGCAGAGGCTGAGGGCAGCCTCACAGCCCAGTTCTCAACCGCTGCACCACCAGGGAAGGCCCTGGGGGCAGCCTTTCAAAGGGAGAACAAAACACAATGGGCATGTTTAAAAATGGTTATTTTTCCCCTAACCCTACCCAGAACACAAGGGGATTTTTTTTCCTATCATCACTATGAGAACCTGGTAGAGGGGCTTCTTGAGGTTAAACTCACGAAGTGTAAGGGTACTCTTAAGACTTAAACTAATCTACACTCAGCCTCCAGCAGTTTGCTAATTACAGTCTATGTTTTCCATGTAGTTAACTGGTTCTATCAATAGTTTCTCTTGGTAAGCTGATATTTATCTGTCTCTCCAGTTTGTGGAGTATTGGTTTGTCCTGTGCCTTCAGTTTTCTGACAAATCTATGAAAAGTTGATGATTTTCTGTTTTCAGCTTTTTCTTACTGTGAATATGTGAGTGGCAACTTCTAAGCTCTTTACATGTCATAGAAGATTGCAATTCAATTTTAAGTAACCTGAATAAAATAGAAGTGTGTCATCCAGTACTCTGACTGTACCACAGTACAGAGTAGATTTCTTTTAGGCAGTAAGTTACCTCTCTCACTCACTAAGCAATTCTTTAACCTTTAAAAAGTAAAACTGCAAAATTGTACTTTGTTAATGGAAACAAAATACAAAATGGTGTTAAAAGAATGCTGCTCTTAAGTATCAAACTCTAACTATTCAATTATTTTAATAAAAATTGCCTAATTTAGTTCCAGAGCTCTGACTAGATATCACAGTCAATACCTCAGCAAAGGCAAAGCCAGAAATATTAACAGATAAAAAGCAATCATCAAAAACCTCCAAACTTGAAAATAAAAAATAACATTAAGGTCCTAACAAAAAGCTAGAAATGCGGTTTAGAAAGAGTAAGTATCACATAATTACATAAAATTCATTCATTTAACAAATGTTTATAAAATGTCAACTGTAAACAAATTATTAACCTAATACTCAGCAAAGGATATAAAGATGGACAAAATGCAAAAGATTCAGCAGTCTTAGAAAGGAGATAAATTAATAAAATAATCAAATAATTAAGCATTACAAAAATTATGTAAAACACTGAATAAAGATTATACCTTTTGTTAACGTGTGCATATCAGTGGCACCTAGTGACAAGTAAAGAAAGTTTCGCAGAGATGGTGGTTTTTAAACTGCATCTTGCGTTACCCTGTTGGCCTCTCTCCCTTCTCTCCTAAGTCACCTTTCATTATAGGTGGCAGAGTAAGTTAAAAAAAAAAAAAAAAAAAGTCAAGCATGCTCATCTCAGTGCCATTCTGGAAATTCTGGAGAATTCTGGAAATTCTCCACTTGTGTAGTAAAAAGTGTGGCCCCTGTGAGGGAAGCCTATTATCATCCTGTCTTGCAAGGGATGAGATAGATGAATCTTCTTAAAGGTGAAGAGCTAGCAAGTTTATTTTCCTACAGCATCTAAAGAAACACCCCACAATCATTAAATCAAATAAAGGTAATTTCTGATTCCCAAGTACCTCTTCCCTCCTCTCCGTATCCTTTTGGTTTTGAAATTGGACAAGGAAGAGGTGTATTATTTACCCCAATAAACATCAGACATCAAACCACTTTAAAAATATGCATATTTCATTGGAGCTAAGGTACAGAGGACACATGAAAGAATGATGAGGCAAGGGTGGATTATAGTCAGATGACTCTACATTGCAGTCAAGGAGCAACAGTTAAAGCTTTTACGAATATAAACTATACAATAGTTTTTAAGAGAAACAGTGACAAGAAGGTTTAGGTTTCAGAATAATTCCTATAGCAAATGACTTGAAAATGAAAAAAACAACACTGGGGCAATAGTGAGGATCTGCAAAAGTCAATGGAATCAATATAATAGTAGCTAAATAAATTATGATATAAGCTATAAAATATTAAGGATGAAATTAACAATTATAGCCATAAAAAGATCTAAAACATAGGGTTAGATTTAAAAAAAATTTAAGTTGTAAATAATGTACATGATGTTACTATTTATACTAAGCACTCACACATTATGTCACTTCTATCACAAGATATGTTTATGCAAATGCTAGCAATAATGCTAAGGAGTTGATATACAAAGATGCCTTTAATCATATCTATTAATTTTTTAAAGGAACACATTGGTGTATAACTTTTATAATTTAAAGACTAACATTAAATCAGGGAAAAAATTATAAGGGTCTTGCCTCATGTGGTTGTAGTGAAAAAACAAAGAGCAGCTGTAGGTGGGAGGAAGACAAACCTGGTAGGATCCACTTCAAAGCTAACGTGCTGCCAATCAGAGGATGTGATCACAATTCGTAATAAAGGATCCAGGAGTTTTTGTAGGTAGGTAGCACCATATACCTAAAGAAACGCACAAGGAGGAATTGATTATTTCTGCTCCATATATCCTGCATTAAAGACATTCTGCTCCATACATTCTGTACAGAATCATTATTTGGCATACCTCCGGGGGGGGGGGGGGGGGGGGAGGTGAATGGATACAAACCTTGAAACAGAAGGTCATTATTTTACTGGCTAGGCTGTTTCCTCGGAAAAGAGTCTGCATGGAGTCTGCCAATTCTACTTCCTTAGAAAACATGTTCCAGAGCAGTTGGTAGAGTAAATGTCGAGAATCAAATAGAGTCACTAGAACTCGAGCTAGTTCATCCTGAGAACAAAATAAAAATTGTGTTGGTATGAACAATTTCATTTCTCTTGAGCAGGAAACTAAAAGGGAAATTCAAATGTGACACATCCACTGAACTGAGATAAATGGTGACTGATTAATTTTTTCCCTGACTTTTATCTGTGTACATGTCTTTGACAGGTGATTTCTATATGCTTATAATTAACTGGTACTAAAAATAGATGAAATGTACAGGCTGGAAAAAACTCCAGGATTCAGCTCACATTATATGATGAAATGAAAGAATACAGAAACAGAAGACAATGCCAAAGGGTTTAGTCTTTGGCACAGACCATTTGGCACAGACCATTTTCTCAAAAACACACTGAAGAGTAATAAGACCATAAGAACACTACTCTCTTCTCACATGGTAAAGTAAACTTGGTGAACACTGAACGCAGGAGTAGAAAGAGACACAACAAAAATGGAAAAGTTACAGGAATTTCAAAAAGCTAAGAAAAAGACACAGGCTATAACATTCAGAACCAAGAGAATAGCAAAATTTACAAATAGCAGCTAATTCCTACATATTATGTAAATAGTAATTCCGACAATTCCCCATTGTAAAGCACTTTTGGCACACTCAAGAAAAATATAGTAGGTTCAAACACAAGCTGGGAAAAGATTTAGAGAAAACAGAGTAGCCATAAAAACATACCTCAAACCTCAAGCAATAACAACAAAGGATCATGCCCCATAAATATACTAGTTCTTATCTCGTCACAGGATTACAATAATCTGACATTTGAGCAAAGGAAAAAATTTAACAATTCTAACCAGAAGTAATCTAGACGCCAAAAAAGAATCATTACTCTGATATATTCCTATAGTAACATAATACATAAGTGACTAGAGGAAAATTTCTATCCTCCTTTTTAAAGTCGAGTTATATGACAGAGTTCAGTTACAAAACATTTTGGAATACTGTGCTAAATTATTTTATCCATTCTAATGCCTCCTCTGCAAACTTCTGAAAACTTTAAGCAACAGAATTAATTTTTCAAAAAGTTATCTTGTGTCTTGTTCTTCACCTATAACTCTAAAAGATCTGATCTAATATAAAAGTTGTCAAAAAAGTCACTTACTTTAAAACATTAGAAATTATTTACTGCAAGAAAATAAAATGAATTAAACTTTAGACTTAACTATTCTTTTATATTAAGAAATTACGCAGTATTTTTAGTGCTAATTATAGGTAGGTGCTAAAAAGGTAATTCACTATGTTCACTTGCAAAACATGAGATCTGTGAACTACAGTGGAGCTTCAAGGGGATTTTAATAATTTTGTTTTTCCAACTCACTAGGCTATAAGCAGGATTCCATCTTTGTTCATTAAACAATTATCTACTAAGTCCTTGTTATATATACCAGGTTCTACGCTAAGAAATGGAAGTATAAAAGTAAACAAGACAGACACAATTTCTGGTATCTTATTCTGGTGGAATGAGAACACATAATCAAATAATCAGGATAATTTTACATCATGAATAAAGGCTGCAGAGAAAATATAACAAGGTAATATGATAGGATGATTGTGATTCTAGTTTTGATTAGCTAACCAGAAAAGATTTTACTATGAAAGTGACATCTGAGAGATGTCAGCATCATGCAAACTAAGATGCTTCCTTACTCGCTTCTTCATTCTAGATCTAGGAAGAAATCCATGAAGCAACAAAGTATCCTCAGATCAGCACACCATGATGCTGGGGAGTCTCCCACATCTAAAGGCTGGTGGACTGAAATACACAGTGGAGACTGAAATGCTATTTCCACATATAGCGAAATTGGTACCCACAACTCCAGTCTCCCTGCAAACTCCCTGCAGCTGAGCCCACAGCCTCAGTGAACCCAGAAGCAATAGTAGAGGCAGGGACCGGAATGGTTCCTCCTAACTGTGGACCCTGCAAAACTAGTAGCAACTAAAGAAACAAATGACAGCTCAGGTGGGGCTAACCACTACAGCTCATTCAGCACAGCTGTGCCCCAGTAAACAGCATCAACTGGCAGCATATGCCCAGACGCTCCCCTTTTCCCTCTCCTGCTACCCCCACAGTGGAAGTGTACAACCCGGGCAACCCAGGATCCATGGGAGTGTGGTGATCACAGACTGTGACACTGGCAGCAGTAAGACACCAGTTACAATGGAGGCACAAACAGCAGCAGTAAGGGACTAACAACTGCTCTGGCAGAGGATGTGGAGGATGGACAACACAAGTTATCCAACATAGCCAGAGGGAATTCAGGTAAGAGAAACAAAAAACTTCTGCTATAGTGCCACCTAGTGGAAAATAAGTTTCTAATCACCAAGCAGTTAAATATTAATCATATCAAAGCAAAATAAAAACAAAAATCCCACTTTACCTAAATAGTATTTCCTACTTCAAAGGCATCTGAAGGGGTACAATTCATCAAATATCACAGAGTCACGGTATCATGGTAACATAAGGACATAAACAGAATTCTCCAGAAACCAAACTTCAAGCCACAGAAAAATGTGATCTGATAGAGAATTCAAAACAGCTGTCATGAAGAAACTCAACAAATTAGAAGAAAATTCAGAAAGGCAGTTTGATGAGTTCAGGAATAAGATTAATGAACATAAGGAATTCTCTTCCTTCTGTTAAAGAGATTAAAATTATAAAAAATAAACCAAACAAAGTCTGGAGCTGAAGAACCCAACAAATGAAGTGAAGACTGTAACAGAAAGCATTGGAGATAAAGCAGACCATATGGCAGAATTTGTGAGAGAGAGGATGGAAATATAGAACTGATTCTGGTTGAAGAGGAGTGAATGCTAAGATTTTTTTTTTAAATGAAGAAACTCTGTAAGAACTACCCAAATCCATGAGAAAACATAACATAAAGATAATGGGTAACTCAGAAGAAATGAGCAGAGAGCTTATTTAAAGAAATAACACCTGGTAATTTCCCAAACCTGAGGAAAAAACTGAATATACAAGATCACAAAACTAACAGAATACCTAATTATATCAACTGAAAAACACGTTAACCAAGACATATTATAATAAAATTAGTAAAGGTGTGGGCCTCCCCAGTGGTGCAGCGGTTGAGCGCTGGGCTGCAAAGCTGCCCACAGCCTCTGCAGCGCTGGTTCAAACCCTGGTCACTGGGGAGGGTCCCACATGGCACGCAGACCTCTCCTGCCGTGCCCACTGCTCCCCTCAGCAGTGTACTTCGGTCCTTCTGCCTGTTCTGCTCCCCGCTCTGGCTCTGGTGAATCCTCTCACCCTCCCGCGCTTCTGACTGTACCCAGTGCTTGTATAAATAAATAAATAAATCTTTAAAAAAATAAATAAAATAAAATTAGTAAAGGTGTTCAACATTTCTTGTAAGGCAATTCTAGTGGTGATAACTCCTTTAGCTTTCATTTGCCTGGGAAAACCTTTATTTTTCCTTTATAACTGAATGGAGTAGAGTAACTAGATAGAGTATTGTTGACTGACCATTTTCATCTTTTAGTATTTTGAATATGTCACTCTAAGACAGATCAGAAGGAGGGAGGGAGGAGCACAGGGGACTGACGTGATGGTACACGGGTGCATTGGTGAAGGAAATTCTATGGAGACTGCACCTGGGTGGGGGGAAGGAGGGGCAAGAATTGTTTAAAAATGAATAATTTTGTAAAAAAAAATTAAAATAAAAAATGTAGATGGGAGCCAGTCTACTTGAAAACAAAATGACAAAAGTAGACAACATTTTAAGGTTGAAATCAGAATCAGAAAATTGAAATTCTTTCAGAATAGAGTAGTAAACACTTGTAGCACAAAGGCTAAAAGGAAAGCAGCATTGAAAATAACTATATATCATCAATTTGGTAACTACCAATATAAAAAGTGACAATCTGTAGCAACAAAATGGGAGTATAAAAAGGACCTGTATCAGCAAATAAAGACAAGACTATCAGCAGAAACAGAATTATCTTATCTGTGAGATGTTTGTATGAAACAAAACCTAGAGCAGAAACACCAAATAAAAAAAGGAAACAAACAAAAAAAAACCCACAAATAGAAAACCACCACAATAAAATGGCAGAAAGGAAAAAAAAAAGAAAGAGGAAAGAATTGATACAGAGAAACCTGAAAACAAAAGACAAAGTGGTAGCAGTACAGCCTCATATATTATAATCACCCTAAATGTAAATGGAATGAACCATTTAAGAGACTCAGAGAGGGTGGATACATTTTAAAATAAAGTAAGACCCAACTATATACTGCGTTCAGAAGTCCCACTTCAACTCTAAGGATAAACAGAGATTCAGAGTAAAGGGGTGGAAGAAGCTAGTGGAACCAAAAAAATGACAGTTACAGCTATGTCTCTATTGAAGTAAAATAGCCAAAAAAAGGTAACAAGAGAAAAAAATGGGCATTATGTAATTAAGGTGTCATAACACTTATTAATATATGTATCCCAAAATAAATAACAGGAATTTATAAATAGGAACACCCAAGTATATAAAGCAAATATTAACTGCCCTAAAGGGGGAAATGGACAGAAGCATAATTAATAGCAGGGTGTTTTAACACCTCACTTACATTGAAGAATAGTTCAGACAGAATCATCAAGGAAACAATGACCTTAAATGACACATTGGACTAAATGGATTAAACAGATATACATAGATCATTACAATCAAAAGGAGATTAAACATTTCTATCAAATGAACATAGAACATTTTCAAGGATAGCACAGCCTAGGACACAAGTCTAAATAAATTTGAAGACTGAAAACATATGAAACATTTTCTAATCACAATGGTATAAAACTAGAAATCACAAGAAGGTTGCAACTATCATAAATGTTCAGAAATTAGCCAACATGCTACTGAAAATGAATGGATCGATGAAGGATCAAAGGAAAGATCAAAAAATACCTAGAAACAAAAGAAAATGAAAGTATAATTCATCAGAAGCAACGGGATGCAGCAAGAGTTATAAAAAGAGAGAAGTATATAGCAATTTAGGCTTATATCAAAAATCAAAAAATGCTCAAGTAAACATTCTAACATTACAATTACAGGAACTAGAAAATATAAATGAAGACTGCAGGCAATAGGAGGAAAGAAATCATAAAAAAATCTGAGCAGAAATAAATGATAGAGGTCAAAAAGACAACACTAAAGATCAATGAAACCAAGTACGGTTCTCTGAAAAGATAAGCAAAACTGACAAAACATTAGCAAGACTTGCTAAAGAAAAATAAGGCTCAAATAAAATCACAAATGAAAGAATCACAACATGTGCTACATATAAAAGATCAGAAAAGACTACTATGAACATCTATACACCAACAAACTAGACAACCTAGAAGAAAGAGACACTTTCTCAGAATCATACAACCTCCCAAGAATGAATCAAGAAGAAAAAAAAAAATCTGAATAATCTGATCACTAAAGGAGATTCAAACAGTAATCAAAAGCCTCCCAATAAACAAAAGGACCAAACCAGAAGTCTTCAGTTGTGAGTTCTACAAATGTTCAAAATAGACTTACTACCTATCTTCAAAGATTTAATGGAATCTTTAGGGTTTTCTGTGTATAATATACCATCTGTAAATGACAGTTTTGTTTCCATTGCAATTTGCATGGCTTTTATTTCTTTTTCTTACTAATTGCTCTGGCTACAACTTCTAATACTGGGTTGATTAACAGACAACTTGGTTTTGTTGTCTTGTTCCTGTTCTTCAATAGTTTCAGACTTTCACTAATGAGTAAGATGTTAGCTATGGATTTGTCATATATGACTTTTATTATATGACAAAATCAAACATAGTAAACGTAGATCAATGGAACAGAATTGAACGTCCAGAAAGAAACTTACACATATACCAACAACGAATTCACAACAAACAAAGGAAACAAACACACACAAAAGAGAAAGGAAAGTCTCTTCAATAAATGGTGCGGGGATACTGGACAGCAACATGCAAAGGAATGAAACTAGAACACTGGCTTATACTGCAAATTAATTAAAAAAATTAATTCAAAATAGATTAAGTACTTTAATTAGACTTGAAACCACAAAATACATAGAAGAAAAACTTGGTGGTAAGTATCTCAACATAGGTCTTAGAGAGGTAGTTTGCATTTTACTTCAACAGCAAGGGCAACAAAAGCAAAACTAAATAGATGGGACTACATCACATTAAAAAGCTTTTGCAGAGTGAAAGAAATCATCATAAAAACAAAAAGGTGGGTCTCCCTGGTAGTGCAAGGGGTTAAGCACAACACTGTGAAGCTATCCACAGCCTCTGCAGCACGAGTTCAATCCCCCAGACAGGGAGCTACCCACATGGCGCAGCACACCTCTCCTGTCTCACCTGCTGTTCCCCTCAGCAGTGTATTTCAGTCAGTCTGCCTGTTCTGTTCCCACTCTGTCTCTGGTGAATCCTCTCACCTCCCACACCCCAGTTCTTGTAAGCATAAATAAATGTTTTTGAAAAAAAAAAAAGGCAACTTACTGAATGGGAGAACTTTGTGAACCATACATTCAACAAAGGCCTAATGTCTAAAACACACAAAGAATGTATATATATACTACTCAACAACAACAAAAAGAACCAACCACATTTAAAAATGAGCAGAGGATCTGAACAGACATGTCAAAGAAGACATGCAGATGGCCAATAGTCACATGAAAAAATGTTTATCAACACCTGTTCATAAGGTTAATATCTAGTTATCTCAACTCTGGGCATTTATCCAAAGAAAAACAGAGTCTAATTCAAAAGGCCTATGCACATCTATGGTTATCTCATCTCATTTACAATGACCAAGTATGGAAACAACATAAGTGTCCATCGACATATGAATAAAGGGCAGTGTGCACATAGGTACACACACACAGGAATAGTACTCAGTCATTAAAAAGAAGAATGAGGTTTTGCTATCTGCAACACATAGACCTTGAGAATATTATGCTAAATGAAAAAAAATCAGGAGGAACACAAATATGATTTCACTCATATATGGAATATTTTAAAAAAAAGCAAATGACCAAAGCAAAAACAAACTCTTAAATACAGAGAACACACTGGTAGTCACCAGAGGAGAAAGAAGGTGGGTGACATAGGTAAAGAGTGTTAACTATATGAACATGGAAGAAAACTAGTCTTTTTTTTTTTTAAGAATTTATTTTATTTATTTATGCATACAAGAACTGCGGTGCAGGCTAGAGGTATGGGGGGGAAGGGATGAGTGGCAGGTATGTGAGAGGATTCACCAGAGACAGAGTATGAAGCAGAACAGGTAGATCTACTGGAAAAACACTGCTGAGGGGAGCAGCAGCTGAGACAGGAAAGGTCTGCTGTGCCATGTGGGTTAGCTCCCTGGCCAGGGATAGAATTCATGTCGCAGTGGCTGGCATTAGCACTGAGAATTTATCCTGTGTCACCAGGGAGACCAGAAAACTAGTCTTCTGGTAGTGATCATGACGTAGTGATATACGTGTCTAACATTATAATGTTGTATACCTGAACCAGTATTACTTTAATAGCTTTTTTTTTTTTTTTTTTTAAAAAGTGACATCTGGACTAAAACTTTAAGAAATTAACCTTTTACAAGGGCAGACTCATTTCAGGCAATGGTGCCAATGGGAGTGGTGGTGGCAGTAGCGCATTAGCAGCAAGGTACTCTAATTATTTCTAAGGCAGAAATAAGTCTAATATGTTTGATGGCCAGTTTGGTTTAGCTTGGGTGAATAAGAAGGAAGGTGATTTGAGAAATGAGATAGAACTCAGGTCGGGTAAAGTCTTGTAAGCTAGGGTAAGGAATCTGAGTTTTACTTTAAATGTAAGGAATAAAAATACTGTAACTATTAACCAGGAACAAATTTATAGGCAATGACATTAGCTACAACTTACTATGCTGAAATCATGTTGGGTACAAGATAAACTAAAAAGCTTTTTACATCAAAAGGAATAACGCTTCTCAAATTTTTGGCTAAAATATTTTGTTAAGAATGGTATGGTTTTGGGCCTTCCCAGTGGCGCAGCGGGGAGGTAGTTTGCAGCTTCGCTGGGTTGCGAAGCTGCCCGCAGCCTCTGCGGTGCCGGTTCAATCCCTGGCTGCCTCCCGGCCACCGGAGGAGGGTCCCACATGGCGCGCAGACCACTCCTGCCGCCCGCTGCTCCCCTTAGCAGTGTACTTCGGTCCTTCTGCCTGTTCTGCATCCTGCTCTGACTGGTGAATTCTCTCACCCTCCTGCGCTTCTGACTGTACCCAGTGCTTGTATAAATAAACAAATAAATAAATCTTTAAAAAAAAAAAAAAAAAAAGCAACTGTTTAAAAAAAAAAAAAAAAACGGTATGGTTTTAGGAAAGTTACTGAGACACCAAGTAGCCATATTATGTCTTCACTGTTTAAAACAAACATCATAGGGGCCTCCCTGGTGACACAGGGGTTAAAGTCTCAGTGCTATCAACCTATTGCCAACCACTGCAGAATGAGTTCGATCCCCAGCCAGAGATATAGCTCACATGGCCCAGCAGACCGCTTCAATTTCTCCTGCTGCTCCCATCAGCTATGAATCTCAGTAGATCTGTCTGTTCTGCTCCCCACTGTCTCTGGTGAATCCTCTCACCCCTACCCCTGAACCTCTGGCCAACACCCCAATTTTTGTATGCATAAATAAATCTTAAAAAAAATAAAAATAATAAAACATCATATTTTCTTTTTTTTTTTAAGATTTTTAAAATTTTTTATTTATACAAGAGCTGGGGTACAGGCCAGAGGCGTGGGGAGGGTGAGAGGATTCACCAGAGACAGAATGGGGAGCAGAACAGGCAGACAGACTGAAAGCACTGCTGAGGGGAGCAGTGGGCTAGACAGGAGAGGTCTGCTGCGCCATGTGGGAATCTCTGTGGCTGGCCGGGAATTGAACCCGCACTGCAGAAGCTGTGGACAGCTTCACAGCGCTGCACTCAACCCACTGTGCCACTGGGGAGGCACCAAACATCATATTTTCAAATGCAAAAAGTGTTTAAATTTAAAAAAAACTGTACAATGTGTTATAGAAAAAAGAAGTGTGAGCTGACATCATAAACAGACATAATCTTGATTTTTATTTCTACCATCACTAACAACTAAATATGAGATTTAACCCTAAATACCTCACTTAATATATGGAAGCATCAGACCAGATCAATGACTTTAACATTCTTTTGATTACTGTTTAAATAGACTTTTTTCAGTAGGGTAGAATACTAGTAAGGGCTAGGAGCTCCCCACAGTTGAAACCACTTTCCCACAGCTAAAAATCACTCAAATTATTGAAAGTTTCTTCCAGTTCTAATGTTTTAGCAATTCATTCAATAAACATTCACTAAGCAAATGTATTTTGAAGATCTGCTATGTGCCAGGCACTCTTCTTCCCCACTTACTCAATTAACTTACCCACTGAGAACAAGGTACCACATTGGCCAGAGCCATAGCTATAGGGAGCTCTCCCTGATCACCCATCATCGTGACCAATTCCACCAGTCTCTCAAACCGATCTGCCAACACAGTTTCTGCAAGTGTGTCAAACTCTGTGCCTTGTTGGAGGATTTTTGTCAGAACTTCCATAAATGTAGCTCTTGTCTGGAGATCTTTGTGATAACCCAAACCTGATATGGACACATAGATGCAAATTTACTAGCATGGCCTTGCTGAATAGGTTTTACCTTTTTATATAAAGCTTTCATTTTATCTCACCTATGGAGTGCATGAGGCCACTGTCCACGTTAGCATTTAGTAAATTTGACATTGCAAGGACAGTACAATGTCTTAGTGATGCCAGTCTCCGAGACATGCCACGTTTCCTACCACCTGTTTGTGCATTTTCATCTTCAACTTCACTACAGTCGTTCAAAAGATTCATAAACAATGTAAAATACCTGAGAAATAAAACAGTGAAGGCCATATCAACCAGAAAGCTACCTGACATTTTGAAATCACCATATGTTTATCACATGAGCGGGGATGGGTATCTATTTCTTTCCAGTCTTAGGGTAATCAGCCAAAGTGGCTCATTATGAAATGTTCAATGTCAAAAATGGTTTTATCATGACAAAAGCTGTACATGTTTCATAACATAACTACCAAACAGATGCAATGTTTCCTTGTAAAAGCATTATGTTTAATGCTAAGCATATAAAATTAGTGGCCCAAATAGTTTAGGCAATGGTATTTAAAGTGACTTAATGAGGCAACCTGGGTTTTATTGCCAATAAAATTCACTGATCAGATTTCTTCAAAAACTACAGTTTTTTTTTTATATTTGTCCTGCCAGGGGGAATATTTCTTCAGGCATATGATACATATTATGAGATAGCAGTTAATGGCCATCATAGTAAAGCAATAGGTCCATTTTCTAAACAGAATTATTTGCTACTTTAGTTACACTTTTTTTGTTTTGTTATGGGACCTTGTTTTTTGTTTTGTGTTTATGGTGACTGAAATTTACTTAAGAAATAACTGTGATTTGGCTTCCATCAATTCCACACCATCTCCTTCCTCAGGCTGCAGTGGAAGACCAGCCAGGAGTGAAACTACTGCTTCCATGCTTGCCTGGTCCAAATCTCTGAGGGAAAAAAATTAAAGACCAAAAAAATTGAGATTATTCTACTTCACCTTCCCCTCAAATAAACTTCTTCCTAACAAACACAAAACTTTAGAAAACTACCCATTTCTTTAAACTAGTCAGACAACCTAAATAATCTGAGCTAATATTTACATACCTCAGAATGCAAATTGAGGAGGAGAGAATAGTTTTCTACAAAGTAACCTTACAAAATGAATACCTTAAATCAAAAGCATGTACTATAAAACTAGACCTGATCAAAGAAATATATCTGAGATGGTTATTATGAAGTTAATAGTGTTAAATTATTTTCCAATATGCAGCAATAAATATTTATCATTAGAGCAAACGTAAGCAATTACTTCTTAAAAGTAACAATTTGGTTTTACAACTTACACTTTAGAATCAGTTAAGTCCTCCAATAATACCTTTATCTATCTAATCATAAAATAAATACATATATATCATTTCCCCATAACTATAAACTATCCTTCCCAGACAACACTAACTTTGCAAACATAACACTCTCTCACATTTTTTTACTGAAAGTCTTTCTATTAAAAATGTTATCTTCATATAATGCAAATACAAAATTTTTGATACAAAAAATACACATAAAATATATGTATAATAGCTATAATGAAGTTGTACTAATGCTTACAATAAAACCTGCTAATAACTTAAAGGTCATTCCCTTTTTTTACCTTGTAAGACATTTAACATCATCATCTGCTGCTTGGTTTGATGTTCCCATAACCCAGTCTGTCAGGTATTCTACCATTTTATTCCTAGAGAATGGCAGAAAAAAGGGAACAGCCCGAAAAAAAAACAAAAAATTAGGTCACACATACACCTTTAGTCATAAATTTTAATAGCGCAGATAATTTGTCAAACAACTCAGTGACATGAACAAATCTAACAGAAGAGCACACATAAGCAATGTGGATACTAAGCCTCCACATTAGCCCTCAGCTATAGTTTAGAAATCAAATTAAATTCTTAGCCCAAATATAGTATAATTTCAGGAAAAGGGAGCCCTGTCATGAACACAAAGCTCTGGGAAATTTAAAAAGACACAGAGAGTAAATAACATGTAAGATGCTTCCTTTCCGTCTCTCCCCCTTCCATGACAACAAGGTTATCTGCTATTTTTCTATACCTTCACTTAACATAAGAAAAATATTTAAGATCTTACCTTGTTTTTTTGAGAACTCACCTAAATTTCATCTCTTGACAAAATGAAAGGTCATCCCTCCTTGCCATCATTACTTCAACTAACTGACACAGTTTCGTTTTTATTTGAATTGCATGGACCATGTTCCCAAGTACACGAACATATCTATTTAGATATAAAAACATGAAAAAAAATCAGATATCAACAAAAGAAATGATTTTCTAAATGCATTAATCTCTAAGTAATATGATTAAATGTTAGTATAAAAACTGCAAAATTTTATTTATGAGAAAATATGTAATTTCTGATTAGTTTATTGGCACATCCTAATTTAGGTGCAATAAAGAAGAGGACAGCAAATTATTTCACTAGTAACTACCAACACCAATGTGTTTCTGCTACATTTCAGTAGAATGCTTACCTGACCAGATTTAACATCATTGTTTCAATGCTAGCTTGTCCCAGATGTTCAGAGCTGCCTTCAGTATGATTATCTAGTAAGTTTTTCATTATAGCTATAGTTTGCTCTACAAATTGAGTATTGGTATCAGTCAATAAAACCTAAAGAACGAAATACATACTGGAATCAATGCACAGCAGACAGATCTTAGAGAGATGAAGCTGCCTGAGATCTAAATGACATACAAATGCAGAAAAGCAGCCTCAGACATAGAAGTGCAGAAAAGCAGCCAAACAGGCATAGGGATACACACAAACATTCATACCCATACCAAAGCCATTCATAATTCCAGACACATAAATGTACTGGAGTTTAAGAATCAAATTAATTCCCACAATGAATGATTCTTCTTTTTACAATTTTTTGCCTATTTAAAAATAGTGAGTAAATATTCGTGTAAGTATCTAATTGATCTAAAAGAAAAAGGTTTAATTATCTCAAACAACTGACTCTATTCAAAGGGAAGGGTGAAAAATAAAGCAGAGAACACTTTACCTGTCCTTGGGAGTCAAAGAACTTGCTGATGGTATTCCTCAATTTGTTAAATAACATTGGATAAAGAGCAGGACTCAATTCTAGACCCACCAGATCCTTAACATTGGTCCGTATTTGAAGTCCCACTTTTTCATGGTTACACACCATTAAGGATAGCAGCCGATCCATAAATTTACTGACAGGTGTATCAGCATTTCCCTCTGAGGACATCACTGAGATCATGGAACCCTTTCGTTCACTCACTGGGCCCATTGGTGGGCTATAGGTTGCCAGACCAGAATTGCTTCTCTGCTGTAGACACACTCCTCCAAGGGCACAAAGGAAGCCAGTCATGTTAATCCATTCCTGTAGGGAGTCTGTGTCAGACAAATCTATGGATCCTCCTCCACTCACATGAGACATTCGCCTCTTAACGATGGTCTTATGAAGGCTTTCAGCAGCCTAAACACAAAGTTTTTATGAAAAGCATGAATTCAATCTAAATTGGCTGAGACTTGACTAATGACCCAACATTTGCTCCTAACAAAAGAACATTTTTCACATTAAAAAAAAATCCAAACTTAAGATCAACATATACATTTTCAGAGTCACATTATATTTTTATCAGTTAGACTAAAATAATCAACCCAAAATTATTAAATTTCATTTAAAAAGCTTTGAATCACATGAGTGAATTCTCAAACATCATGCCACATAAAGGAAATCAGTCTCAAAACACCAAATATTGCACAATTCCACTTATATGAAATGTCCAGAATAGTTGGATCTCTAGAAAGACAGCAGATTAGTGGTGCCTAAGACCAAGGAAAAAGGAGGAAATTAAGGGTTTACAGACCAATAGCTAACGGAGATCTGTTTTTAAAAATGTGGCAATAAATGCACTACTCTGAACATATTAAAAACCACTGGACTGTACATTTCAAATGGGTGAATTGTATGATATGTGAATTAGGTTTTCAATGAGTTACCAAAAAAGAAAAGTTTTCATTCAGAAGCCATATAACCCCTCCAAATAATATTAGGTACACATTTTTCACAAAAGCAATTTTTTTTCCCCTCATTCTAAGTAAGTTTGATAAGAAAAAAAGGTCTGAGAGACTAATCAATTTTTCTAAAAAACAGTATGAGAGTAATATGGACATTATAAATCAAATACATAAAACTGTGAATTTTTGGAGTAGCAAATGAAAATAGCTGATATATGAAATTTTCAAATCTTAGAATTTCATGTAATCTATGGATTCAATCGTTCACACCATACCTTTTAATTAGAATACCTAATGAAATAGTGAAATGTGTTGTTTCAATTTATTTTTCTCTACCTTGTCAACCCTTTCCTGAAAATTCTATGAAATACTCTGATGGAAAAAAAGAGGGGAAAGGAATGTTCTCTACCACAAGTCATCACTAGCTCAGCGCTTTCCAGTATTTCTACAATGATTGAAACATTTATATCTACTCTGTCTAATACAGTAACTAACTGCCACATGTGGCTACTGTATCTTCAAGACTCTGAATTTTAATCACACTTCATTTTAATTAAATTTAAACTTAAATGTGGTAAGTAGCTACCATATTAGATAACATAGGGCAGAAAACTAAGAGTCAGTTTTATTTATTTATTTATTTATTTGTTTATTTATTTATTTTATTACACTAAGAGTGACTCAAAAGATTTCTGAAGTACATATATTTAATAGAACAATTAACAGATAACAAACTCAACTTTCCAAACTCACCTGGCCATCTTCCATTTTGGCTTTTGGGTAATTGAGGATTAGCTTTGTAGCTTGTTCCCACTTTGCATGTGTATCTTCCCAAGCCTAAAATGAAGGCAATTGCCATTTGAAATCAACTTTAAACCTAAAGCTAAAATCAATCAGTAATAGGTTTCAAATTTAACATGTAAGTATACTACTTGTAATATGCACAATCTTAGGTTTACTTCAAAACCATTCCTAGTTTGTTTTATATATATATATACACATGTATACACACATATTATATCTATATATACATACATGTATGAATATACATATTTGTGTGCATCCATACACACATATATTCTATGAAATATATTTTCTATTTATATAATTCTATTTCATAGAATGTGTGTATGCGTGTGTGTGTGTTTATGTATGTGTATTCCATGAGACTTCTAAAATTAAGGGTGGGAACTGGAAGTGATGTTTCTGTTGCTGACATACCTCTGTGTTTCCTGCAGTGGGATGCTCAATGCGCCTTAGAAGTGCCATCACTCTTTTCTGAAGTGCTGCTCTTCCTAGGCAACAATAGTAGCAAATCAACTTATTATCATACAGAGCTCTGCTCCCTCAACAGAGACCCTGGCAAGCCCAATCCAAAATACAAACTGGAGAAGTGAAAAGCTTCAAATTGATAAAGCTGAATCTTCCTATCATCAATCTCCTGGGAAAAATATTTAACTTGGATTCCATAATACCCACAGCACGAAATAATTATCTTTACCTATATTTACTCAAAACATGTATACCAGTGTTTAAAACTTGCTATATACAGTTCAAGCATATTAAATTATATAATCTATAACTGACAGCAATGTATACGGGCAGTGTTTTAAACAAATGTACAGCATATTTAAAACTCAGTGAGAAATTATTCCAAATGCTATTTATTTCCACCCTGTCTGGTGCAGAAAGGGATTTCAGAAAAGCCACTATAAGTAAACTTACAAAGCATTAATCTTAAATACATCCCTAGCACAATCAGATTATTTTGTCAAACTGACTGTCAAAGTAAACTGAATGAAAGAAACACTTACCTGTTGACATCATATTACTAACAGAGGCAAATTCCATGAATGTGTTATAGTTGGGCAAGAAGTTATGCACCGACACTTCATCCACCCCACACCGGATATCTGCTTCCTCACAGAGGTGGCGGAAACAGGACATGGCAACCAGAACAGCTTCAGTGTCAGGGCTCCAAAGAAACATATACAGGGCCACCTCAAGTTTGGTCTGGGCTTGTCGGCATATTGGTGGGGTTCCACTGCACCCTGCTGCTGCACTATCCTGAAGTGGGAGGCATATATTTGCAACTCAGGTGATATTATTTATAAAACCCAATAATGGTACAAATTGTGTATCATATATATTTGCATACAATAATCCACAAGAGCTTTCCCCTTTGATCATGATGAGAATTTTCAAGCCCCAAAATTTATGTCTGAAAAGAAAGAAAATTATTCAAACCAAAATAACGCTCTACTCTCCAAATTCAAAATCAAACACATATTATCCTATTCCACATTCCAGACATGTAAATTAAGTCTAACATGGGCGCAAATAAAACATTTGCAACATAAATCTACTGAACGAAAAATGTAACACAGTTTCTGGGCATTATAAATGACAGAGGAAGAGGAAGTAACAGGAAATTCTCTCTATTTGCTGAAGAGAAGAATTAAGTATACTGAAGCATTGACATAAAAGCACAGACAAGAATTAAATATTGCTGCAGAAAATCTACTTGATTATGAATTATATATTCTTAAAACACACAAAAAGAAGAAATCCTCATTTACAAAATGAATGCAAATTGTGCTGGTAAAGAAGATAATAGTAAACCAAACTGCTTAGTTGTTTTTTTTCCCTCCACTAAAGATCATATTTAAAATTATGTCTATGCTCATGGATCAGAAGAATTAACATTATCAAAACGGCCATCCTACCAAAAGCAATTTACAGATTCGATGCAATTCCAATAAAAATCTCAGTGGCACACTTCAAAGTTTCTATTCTTCAAAGAAATAGAACAAATATTGCTGAAATTCATACAGAATCACAAAAACCTTGAATAGCCAAAGCCTCTTGACTAAAAAGGGGAAGAACAGAGGTACTATACTCCCAGACTTCAAACTACACTATAAAGCCATAATAATTAAAATAGCACGTTACAAGAATAAAAAGACACACAAACCAATGGAATCGAACTGAAAACCAAGAGATAAAGACACACATATATGGTCAACTAATCCATGACAAATGAGCAAAAAATAAGGAACAAGGATAAGTCTCTTCAATAAATGGTGCTGGGAAAACTGGACCATTATATGCAAAATAATGAAATTAGATTACTACCTCACCTCACACCATATATAAAAACCAACTCAAAATGAGGACCTCTCCAGTGGTGCAGCAGGTTGAGTGCAGTGCTGTGAAGCTGTCTGCAGGCTCTGTAGCGAGGGTTTGATTACCGGCAGGCCAGGGATATTCCCACATGGCGCGGCAGACCTCGCCTATTGCGCCTGCTGCTCCCCTCACGTGTATTTGCAGCTGCTGTTCTGTCCCCGCCTGTCTCTGGTGCCTCTCTCCTTGCCTCTGGCCTTACCCAGCTCTGTATAAAATAAATAAATCTTAAAAAATTTAAAAAACAAGTCAAAATGGGGCTCGGTGCGCAGCGGGAGCGTGGGTTGCGAGCTGCCCCTCGGCGCCGATCCCGCTGCTTCCCCGGCCACCGGAGGAGGATCCCACATGGTGCGCAGATCTCTCCTGCCACCCGCTGCTCCCCTCAGCAGTGTACCTCAGTCCTTCTGCCTGCTCTGCCCCCCGCTCTGGCTCTGGTGAATTCTCTCACCTTCCCGCGCTTCTGACTGTACCCAGTGCATGTATAAACAAAACAAACAAACAAATATAATAAATTAATAAATAAAAACATGCCTAAAAAAAAAAAAAAAAAACCGTAAAAAAAACAAGTCAAAATGAGTAATAGACTTGAATGTAAGACCTGAAACCATAATATATATAGAAAGAAACATAGGCACAACACTTTATGACATACATCTCAGAAACATCTTTGAAGACTCATCTCCAGAAGCAAAAAAAGTGAAGGAAAAGATGAACAGCTGTGAATACATCAAACTAGAAAGCTTCAGTACAGTAAAAGACAATAATCTAAATTAAGAGACAATCCACAGATTGGGAGAAAACATTTGTACTCCATACAATTGAGAAGGGACTGATATCAAAGATCTATAAAGATCTTATACAACTCAACAAAAACAAAGCAAATAACTCAGTCAAAAAATGGGCTGAAAAACTAAAAAGACTTCTTCAAAGAGAAATGCAAATGGCCAACAAGTATATGAAAAAATGCTCAATTCATTTATAATAAGGGAAATACAAATCAAAACCACAATGAGATACCACCTCACACTGGTGGGAATGCCCATATTAAAAAAAAAACTGGCAACAACAAATGCTGGTGAGGATGTGCAAACACTGCTGGTGGGAATGCAAACAGGTCCAACCACTATGGAAAGCTTCCTCAAATTACTAAAAATGAATCTACCATTTGACCCAGCAATTCCATTCCTAGGAATCTACCCAAAGGATACAAAAATACTAATTCGAACACTGCCTATGTTTATTGCAGCACTATTTATAATAGCTAAGATATAGAAACAACCTAAATGCCCAAAAACATGGATCAAGACAATATGATATATACAGATACATACACAATTGATTACTATTCAGCAATCAAAAAAGGTAAACTCATGTCATTCACAGCAACATGGATGGAGCTAGAAGGGATTATGCTCAGTGAAATACCCCAGAAGGAAAAAGAAAAATATCAGGAATACAGGAAAATTGAACAAAGGATCCAAAAAAAGACAAAACTTGCAGGTAAACTATAGATTTGCGGTATACAGCAGGGGAGAGGTCAAAACAGGAGAGGGAAGAGCATAAGGTACTATGTTGACGCATAAGGTACTATGGTGACTTCACAGGTACAATGTGGTGATGGGATATTTATGGGGAATACACCTTAGGGGAGAAATCAAATACTTTATAAAAATGAACAACAATGTAAGAAAATAAGGGAATTTAATCAATAAAAAATTGTCTTAAAATAAAGCTTTAGTCTGGAAAAGAAACTCTTGTAATGATTTGATATTTTCACTTGTCCTATGATATATTTTTAAAAGGAACAACGCACACAAGCAAAAAAAAAATCATAGCAATCTGTAACATCAAGCAAAATGTTTTTTCTCTCAGTGAATTTATACATGTTTGTTGGTACAACTTTTAAACTGAAGAATATGAGTGGTCATGATGAGATAGAAGTTTATATTAATTAATGGTTATCAGGTATAGCTTATAAATGTCAAATGCTTGATCAAGGGCTATTTACTTGTGATCTCATTTAATTTTACCATTCTCCAATTCTGGGGCAGGAAGAATTATCATCTCCATTCTAAAACTGAGGAACTAACAGAGATGTTAGGAATTTCCCTTGGGTTCCACAGAGAACATTGACAGAACTAGTATGTAAGAAGTTCTTTACTGTGCTATATTATCTAGCTGAAACTACCAAAGTCCGTGAGAATAAAAGAAACACACACACATACACACAAATAGAGCACAGGTGATGACACAGAAAACTACAAAAGAAGCTTCATTACCATGGATAAGTTTCCTTTTCCCTTCCGGAGAGAAGTTCCAGGAGTACAAGTACGTAGTAACTCCTCATGATCCATGGACATATGACTGGTATTTCCACTTGAAGGAACATCACATCCTACCCCATACAGGAAAAGAAAATGACAGGAACTTCTGTCTGCCTGCTAGAAAGAAGTAACAAGTGAGCTCTACTGAAGCACTGATAGCTAAGAAAAATAAATGCTCAGTGTGACTTGCCTTCCCATTTGAGGCTATCCTGGAAAACCTCTTCTCCCAACTCCTAACCCTCAATCTTGAAAAACATTCACTAGAAACCAAGTAGTACAAATATTGTTTGCTCAATGTTTTTGAAATTCCTCAGTTTCCCACCCTTCAAGTCATCAAAAACAACAGGTTCAAGAAACATAAATTAAGACTAACATGAAAACAAGTAAAAGATCAACAATGTAAATCTACTGTATAAAAAATAGCATGTCCTGCTCAGTTAATTATAACCAACAAAGTTTATTTATTTATTTTTTGTCTCATCAGATCTTATCCTTGTGCCACATTAGGATAATTGGAAGCTGACCTTTTTGAGATTAAGTTCCTTTGGACCAATAATTAACACCAGTATATAGGCTAAGTACATGGTGCAAGAATAACTTTGCTGATCAGAGGACTACAGATTCATTATACTAAAGCCAAATTCTATTACATTAACACACTAAGATAAACCAGGTATGAATATACTCAATAAATCTATTTATCTTTATTCCATTTATAAGCAATGGAAATTTAACAGGTTGCATGACACCCTGAAAAGCATAAATTTTAAACATTTAAGATTTACTATAGCTATAACTCCAGAAATGACAAATTCATTAAATAGAGTATTCCTAAAACTATCCCATAAGTTTTTTTTTAATTGACTAATTACAGAAACTTTGTGTTAAAATAAATTTAAAGGGCCTCCCTGTGGCACAAGGGGTTATCTACAGCTACTGCAGCAGGAGTTCGATCCCCAGCCAGGGAGGTGACCCACATGGCACAGTAGACCTCTCCTGTCTTACCCGTTGCTCCCCTCACCAGTGTATTTTAGTAGATCTGCCTGCTCTGCTCCCCAATCTGTCTTTGGTGAATCCTCTCACCCCCGGTACCTCTGGCCTATACCCCAGTTCTTGTATATATAAATAAATAAATCTTCTAAAAAAGTAAACAAAAAGAATAAAATTAAAGCTCTTTCCTATCCCCTATAACTCCCTCACCAAACTTTAATAGTTAAGAATCAAAAATTTCATTCAACCCTAAGGAGGAAACTCCTGATATTTTCAAGAGGTGATATATTTATGAAAATAATATAAATAAACCTCTTCCCTTAAGCTTCTTGATAAATGTCATCCGCTGGACTAGTTTAGCCATGAAATTCAGTGTTATGCATGAACTTCAAGACAACATGCTCCTCAATCTACTTAGGATTATCAGCTCCTACTCCTTCCCCTCCCCAAAGTCCTACTTACTCAACTAGAATTTATCAGAACTATGGCTTTAAAGCCAGCTTTCAGAATTTTTTTTAAATGTTGATTGGTTAGTCATGTCCTCTGACTATACATTTACCTTGACAACCTTGTAGGAGGGAGAAATTCATAAGATCTAAATACTAATAAATACTTCCTTAATAAATACTAAATAATAAATAATAATAAATTCATAAGATCTAAATACTAATAAATACTTCCTTAACTTTATTCAATCACCATTCCAAATTTTTTCCCATTTCTAAAGATGTCATTTTGCTTACCTTATTTTTAAGAAGGAATTTATTCCTGCAGATCAAAATTTCCCGCAACCATTTGAGAATTTCTGTGCTACTAAGCATCTGATGGCTAGTTAGTTTCTTGCAGATGTAAAAAAGCATTTGTGAGCTGCAGTAACATAAAGCTCATTGTTACCAGCATCATCAATAAATAACCTAATATAGATATAATCAGTACATAAGAATAGTATTTTCTTATAAATGGACACAAGTTTAGAGAAACTTCCCTTCCAGGACTTGTTTCATAGAAATGATCATCAAAATATTAACTGTGTGATAATCAAAGGAAGTAAGTAAAAAATTATTTATTCTAAGCCCCTTCCCTTCTATACTTCTAACTGTTCCATCTATGCACCGCATTCTTGCAGAGGAGTCAAAATAAAATGAGAGACCATGTGCAAAGCAGTCTATAAACACAATGCTTTTAGAGCAGGGTCTACAAATAATTGCCTGCAGGCCAAATCCAGACCATCATTTGCTTTTGTAAATAAAGTTTTAGTGGAACACAGTCACATTCATTCATTTAAATATTGTGTATGGTTGCTTTCATGCTCTAACAGCAGAAATGAACCATGATCACAGACTACTTGGCCTACAAAGTCTAAAATAATTACTAACTGGCTCCTCCCCCTCCCCAAAGTCCTACTTACTCAACTAGAATTTATTAGAACTATAGCTTTAAAATCAGCTTTCAGAATTTTTTTTTAAATGTTGATTGCTGGTCCCTAATTCTAGAGCTGCACTGTCCAACAAGTAGCAACTGACCAGCCACAGAAGATGATTAAGCAATTGAAATGTGACTTGTCCAAATTGATATGTACTGTTAAGTATGAAACACATCAAATTTTAAAGACTATGTGGAAAAAGAAAAACATAGATACAAATAATACCTCATTAATAACTTGCATTCTAAACACATGTTGAAATAATATTCTAGATATACCATGTTAAAAAATATTAAAATTAGTTTTACCTGTTTATTTAACTTTTTAATGTAGCAACTAGAAACTTTTAATTGTATACAAGGTTCACATCACATTGCTATCAGAGTAGATCACTCTAGAGTCTATGATTTAACTTAGCAACAAGTGACTTAGTGCACCCACTTCTCTTATTAAGATAATGACAAAACTTGAGGCTTACATATTTACATTTTCCTCAGTGTGTTGCTTTTGTGTTCATTAAAAGGTAATTATTCATATAACCTAGGAAATAGATTATAAAATTCTGTATATATGTTTGCTTTCTAAGCAGTTATTCATTATTATGTCATTCACCAAAAACACTGGTATTATGGAAAATTTATGAAAGATCATAGTTTAAAAATCTGAACTATTAATGTTACATAATTTTAACATTCTATGCCTCTAACTAACAATCAATTAAAAACACAGTTGTAACTACATAGAAAATATGAAATAGAGAATCCTCCAAATAACAGTACTTCACGTTGGGTAATTAAATTTAGCATATTTTGAAAGTTGTATCTTCTAAAACTCAGTGACATTCTTTTAGTTAAAACAAGAAATAGTCTAATTAATAATCTCAAGTCAAATAAAATACAAACATCCAAACAATACAAATACAAATAAATTCCAAATAGTAAGTTACCCTCTGGAGGTATAGGTGAATGAAGTTTTACAACAAACTACTATAAAGTGAATATTTAAAGACAGAAGATAAATTTTTCAAATGAATTAAAAAATAAAAGTACATACCTAATTTCCCAAAATGTTTCAACAGGAGCATCAGGATTCCACAAATCAATGCTGTCTAACTGATGAAGAACTAGCAGAGCCTGATATTTAAGAGAGAAAACTTAACTCACTTCTGCACTGTTGGTGGGAGTGCAAACTGGTCCAACCACTATGGAGAGCTGTGTGGAGATTTCTGGACCTACTAAACATAGAGCTTCCATATGATCCAGCAATTCCACTCCTAGGTATTTACCCAAAGGACACAGAAACATCAATTCCAAAGAACACCTGCACCCCTATGTTTATAGCAGCACTGTTTACAATAGCTAAGCTTTGGAAACAACCCAAATGCCCAAAAATAGATGACTGGATCAAGAAGATGTGGTACATATATACCATGGAATATTACTCAGCATTCAAAAAAGATAAACACATGCAATTTGCAGCAACATGGATGGCGCTGGAAGGGATCATGCTCAGCGAAATAAGCCAAAAAGAAAAAGAAAAATACCGGATGGTCTCACTCATAGCAGGAATCTAGAAAACTTAAATAAGGGACCAGGAAAATGAATATAAGAAAGTGAAAATCAAAATCAACAAAAAACTATGAACCAGAGACACTTTTTGGGGGTGGGGGGCGGGAGGGGAAGGATTGGGGTCAGAATGGGGCGTTTGCAAATGTATGGGGGAATATAAAAATAAAATTTATTATTTTAAAAAAAAAAAAAGAAAACTTAACTCAAAAAATTTTAAATATTCCAATTGACCATAAAGTTAAAAATGTGTTTGGCTCACAGACCATTTATAGGAATTAAATAATTCATTAAAAACACACACACACACTGGGCCTCCCCTGGTGGCACAGGAGGTTAAGCACCGCGCTGCAAAGCTGTCCGCAGCCTCTGCAGTGCCAGTTCGATCCTGGTCGGCTGAGAATCGCACATGGTGGGGGGCAGACCTCTCCTGTCTCGCCCACTGCTTCCCTCAGCAGTGTATTTCAGTCAGTCTGCCTGTTCTGTTCCCCACTCTGTCTCTGGTGAATCCTCTCACCCTCCCACAAATCTGGCCTGTACCCCGGTTCTTGTATAAATAAATCTTAAGACACACACACACACACACACACACAAACTTATTACATAAGTTAAAACTATCAATGTATCTGGAGTAAAATTAGACTCTTCCTTCAAACTGATACTACCCTAACTCCACTTCCACAATGCTTCTCTACAAGTCCATTGTGGAGCTCTGCACATTCTCCTCAGAGTTTGGTTGGTATGCTTGGTAATTCCTTATCCCCCTTTAAAATTCTTTATTAAAATTCCAATAAAATGCTGTTTGGAAACACTTGTTCAGCTAAACACTAGTCAAACACTGGGAACAACACAAATGTCTGTCATCAAATGGGTGAATAAATTGTGGTATAACCAGCCATGAATGGAACACCATGCAGCAAAAATATGTAATGCATATTTTTAAAAAAGGAATAACCATTGACATATGCAACAACATCAATAAATGTGATAATTATGCAGTTAAAGACAATGAAAGGAGTGTGTATAATTCTAATTATACATATGCAAATTAATCTATAGTAACAAAAAGCAGATCATTGTACCCAGGGGTAGCTGGGGAACACACAGGGCAATAATGGAAGAGGGGGAACAAGGAGCACAAGCCGTTTTGCAGTAATGGACACATTCACCTATGTGGCAATTAACAGTATAATCACCTAGTATAATCATCAGTACAATATTTATCAACAAAAACAAAAAAGAAAGAACTAACACACGGACAAATCTCAAAAACTTGCTGAATGAAAGAAGTAAAACAGAAAGGACACATAAGTCTAAGATTCCATTCATACAAACTTCAAGAATTGACAAAACTAGAGTGACAGAAATCAGACCCATTGTTGCTAGAATAGGGAATGGGATCACTGACTACAAAATGATATAGGGGAACTTTGGGGGTGATCAGTTTTATCTGATTATGTAAAGTTTGACAACAAAAAAACAAATTTAGGGACTGCCTGGTGGCAGAGAGGTTAAAGTCTCAGCAGCTATCACCAGTCACTGTAGCCTGAGTTTGATCCCTGGCCAGAGAGCTAAACCACACGGCACAGCAGACCTCTCCTGTCCCACTGCTCCCCTCAGCAGTGTTTTCACCAGATCTGCCTGTTCTGCTCCTCTCTCTGTCTCCAATGACTCTCCTTACCCCCCATACTTCTGGCCTAGACCCCAGTAATTGTATGCATAAATAAATCTTTTAAAAAAAAAACAAATTTAAATAAACTAATATTGATCATATAATCAATATAATTTTTTGAAAAGTTAACTGCCTTCACACCCCTTAGAATGGCTATAATCAAAAAGGCATAGCTGGCAAGGATGCAGAGATATTGGAATTCATATATTATTGGTGGAACAGAAAAGAGTGATGTTACTACGAAAAAGTTTGGCAGTTCCTCAAAATGTTGAACAGGGTTGGTTATCATATAATTTAGCAATTCTGCTAAGAGACAGAGCCAGACCAAAACCTATACAAATATTCATAGCAGCATTGTTTATAATAGCCAAAAAGCAGAAATAATTCCAAATGTCCAGAACTGATGAACAGGTGAACAAAGTGTGGTATATCCATATAATGGAACGTTACTAGGCAATAAAAAAAAAAGTATCCATGCTATGATATGGAAAAATCTTTAAAACAGTAAGTTAAATGAAAGAAGACACAAAAGGTTATACATTATATGATCTACTTATATCAAATGTCCAGAACAAAAAAAATCTATAAAGAAGAAAAAATAGTGGTTGCCAGGGCTGGGGTGGACAGGGTCTGAGTAGTAACAGGGCGACAAAAACAGGGGTGACAAAAATGCTCTGGAATCAGATAGTGGCAATGTTTACACAATCTTGTAAATATACTAAAAACCACCAAATTAAATACTTTAGAATACCAAACTTTATGATATGTGAATTAGATCCCTATTTGAAAATAAATGTATTTAGAAAAATTTAAGTCAACTACAATTACAACATTTTGAGTTCTTTTATTAAGCATAAAAATTTACAAAAGTTGTTGCTACATATAATCTAAAGCCAAGTAAATTCCTTGTTTCTCTATGGAGTACAGGGAGACACAGCACAAACCTACCATTTCCAGAAATGACATGGCTCTCTGACATGTCATAATGACATCTGTCACTCATAGAAACCACACACCAAAGAAAGACCAAGAACATACAGAGTTTAAACCATTTTTTTAAGAGCCTAGAATTAAATGTCCCCTTACCTCCATTGCTTCCTGAGCAATCTCAGGCATGTGTGACTGAGGGACCAGTTGCACTAGTCCTGTAATTAGTTCTGCTGTACTGCCTTGGGTTTCAGGTCCTTGTTTTCTTGGATTCTGCAAGAAAAAAGCAAACTTCAATTAAAAAAATCATATGACAGGAGGTAGAAGGAAGCAGGAATGGAGAGTGACTGCTAATGGGTATAAAGTTTCTGGTAATGACTGTACAACCTTATAAATATACTAAAAGCCAGTGAACTGTACACTTTAATAAAATAGTGAATTTTATGGTACGTGAATTGTAGCTCAATAAAAAATTGTGAAATTATAAAATCAAAAGTTTTATTAAGGATCTTCTTAATCTGTATTTGCTTATTAATGTGAATAGTATTGAGTAAAAATACTAATTAAAAGTTAAATATTAGCTTCCAATTGAGAAATTATATCACTAATATGAGTGCTAAGTAGTTTATTTTTTCAGCAACACTACACTAGCTAAATAATATATCTCTCATTTGAAACTCATTGGTTTTATCTATAAATGATTGTGCCAAAGGAAAAGAACATACATATTGAATGAGAAAGATTGCATGATTATCCTGTGCAGCCTTTTTGTCCAGCCTTTTGTCCAGATTTGGGTCTACCCAAATCCACAAAGAGGACTAGAATCCACAAATCCAGATACCCATGTCAGTCTTTTTCAGTGTGAAAAAACAGTGTACTAAACAAAGCAAATTGTGGTTGATATAAATGTGAATGTTGACCTACTTAAAGAGACTAAAATGTTTCCTAAAACTTGTAAGCATCTATTTGCACTTCAAGAATAACTGGTTCAAGTGAGGCCCATATTTTATTGCTAACTATAGATTCTCTCCCATTATGATTAAGATAAGACCTCACACCAGTACATCTATAATTCAAAACTGTAAGCCTACTTTCTGACATTCATATTCTTTAATAACCCATTGATATTTACTGAACACCAAAGATACAACAAAAAAAAGAAAGAAGATATTTCCTACCCTCCTGGAGCAGATAGTCTGGTAAGAAAGACAAACATCAATAAAATAATCAGACCAACAAGTATATGATTGCAAATGAGATAAGTGTTACAAAATTACACGTTACTATGAGTGCATAACAGGGAAATGCGGCATATTTGGGGAGATTTCCTTAGAACAATGATACTAGCTCAGAAATAGCAGGAGTTACTATGTGGAAAGGAGAAGCAAACACATCATAAACTAAGCAAACGGGGTGAATATGAGGAAATATAGTAGGTAAAAAGGAGTAAAAAATAGGCCCTCATGACTGGAGTAGAGAAAACAAAGGAAATAAGAAATTAGAGGTGGTAGAAGTGGTAGGTAGAACTCAGACCGCATATGACCTTATAGGTGCTTGGAATCTGGCCTTAATCCCAAGAACAATTTCAACTAAAAGGTTTTTAAACTGGGCAGGGGAATGATCAGATTTGCTTTTTAAAGAAATCACCATAACTCTAGAGAAATGATTAGCTGATGTGATGGATTAGAATAGAAACAATAGAGATGAGAGACAGTAAGATTTCATTACTTTAAAAATACCATTGAGATAATGTCATAGTTATTCATACATTTATTTTATATAATGAAATTTATAATTTTATATAATGAGATTTATAATTTTTATATGCAAAATATATTTGAAATATTTACAATGAGCCTACTTTAACTTACTTATGGTAATGCTGAAGAAAAGTTGTTTAACCACTAGATGGCGGCAAAGAAAATAATTTCAATTTTGAATTACTTCAGCTCACTGTATTACATACTTGGAAAATATCAAGATTCACTTAAATTCTAGTTCTTTGAATAAATTATTTAACAAATGACTTTAGTGCATTCTTTGAACCTTAATAAGAATTAAGGTTAATTAACCTTAACTTAATTCTTTCATGACCTTAGTGCATTCTTTGAACCTTAATCATAATTATGCAAAAAGAGTGGTGCTAATTTATTACATGCACAATAACACCACAAATAACCCATAACAAAGGAAGATAAAGATTATTTCATTACTTTCACAGTCTCACTAATAGCTTTTATGATATGTCTCCACACCAAAGTGCTAAAATTTAACTCTATTAGACTACTAAATTTGGATGGGCTTTTCGAAGAGTTCAAAATATCAATCACAGGCGGCCTTTTAGGGTCAGTGATCCGTTGGAGAATGCCTTCATTTCATTCATTCATATTCATTCTTTCTTTCTTCAGAGAAAAGTATTCACATGTACGTTTCCTTAATTCAGGGGTTAACAGAACTCTTAAAACTATGGACATCAATTTGTGACCCCTATAGTAATTTGAAAAACAGGCAATCAAAACTGGAAAACCTTAACACTTAAAAAGCCTGCTAATAAAAAAAACAGTAAGAAATCCTTTCAGATGCTGCTTTCCAGAGAAACTCCACAGAAGGTAAACATGCTATTTTGTGAATTCACAATATTTAACTATTACACTTGGGACTATTACATTATTATATTAATATTACTAATGTTAACTATATTTTATTAATAGTAATAACAGCTATCATTTATTTAGTACTCATTATGTACTTATTTTACATTATTCCTAAAAGTAGGACATGTACTATCATAATCCTTTTTACTATTCCTCTGGGTTATCATAATAGCTCAGAGAAGAAAACTAAAGCATGGAGAAGTTAACTCACCCATATATTACATAGCCTATGCTTTTAATCACTTCATATAACTATCACTCATTTATTTCTAAGTTCCTAATTATTTTGTATACTAGAGTAGTGCTCTCAGGAATCTAATACCCTCCAAGGCTGCTAAAAACAGAGTTGTGACAGAACTGAGTGTTACCCACACCCACTTTCATTTCCTCTCCCCCCAGAGTATGTACTTATAAGCAAAGTTAGTGGTAAGAGAAGGCTAATGACAGGAAGAAAAAGGGAGACAAAAAAACTACATTGCTTGGTGGTAGCAACTGGAGATTAAAAAAAAAACACCATGTAGACGTCGTAGGAAACACTCTGATTTGCGGTTGCTTAGTTACCTCCACCACCCTATCCCAGGATTATGACTGAATATTATATAATTTGATATTTTATATAGACTTAGGATTTTAGTTAAACCCTATCTCGGAAGTTAGGATAATAATTTCACAATATTTAAAAAAAAAAATACTTACACAAAGCAAGAGCTTTGGATCCGCATGGATTAGTTTCACCATGGACAAAAGAAGATACTTATAGCTTCTAGTCTCTAGATCCGTAGGTTTCTCTTTAAATTTAAGGCTTGTTACTTTTTCTTTAAATGTAAGACTCTAAAAACAAAAACATGACATTATCTTATAAGAATCAGTATTAGATTCAGGAAATTATCCAACTCTAAAAAGTCTATTATCAAAAAGCTTTGAAAAACTAAACAGACATGTTCTATACTACCAAATGTGTGAGATTAGTAAAACCATTCACTAGTCAGTATATGGTTGTATTATTAAACTTAAAAAACAAGAGAAAATTATTTTATAAATATTTATATTTTTATATAATTTAATAAAATTTAAATGAAAATCTATTAAAATACTAAAAGTTTCAATATTTCAAATCTGACTAAGTAAAAATCAATTTTCAAAAATGTAAAAACACTAGGGATAGAAAATTTAGTCTACAAATATTAGCTCTCACAAATACATACACTGAGCAAACTCATTTAACAAACACTTATCTCACATTCATATATACAACTATTTCCTAGAACCTGGGGCAGGATCAACTGTAAGATGTATCTATATTTTATTTATCACATAGAATGAAAAATCACTGTCAACTATAAGATACCCATAGAAACAAGAGGGACTCCCAATTTCAAAGATGTTAAAAACTAAAAATAACTACTTCTTAGAATTGAAATATGCTATTTTAGCAAGCTGTGCTTTTAATAGGTAATTGTAGCTTTGCTTTTTTCCTTCAATGACATTCCATCTCTCTCAAATTACGGAATACATGTATTTTGTCTCAAGGACAATGATAAAATAGAGAAAGAATTCTTTGAGAAAGTTTAAATCAAGGAAAATGTAGGGATACTACCATGGATTCTGTGTACATATTATAATTATGAACATATTATAATTATGTGTACATATTATAATTATGAACATTATTCAAGAAAATCCACCAATTATATTTTATATCCAATACAACACCTTTCTCTCTTACTATAAAATTTCTCTTTTCCTTTTAAAAGGAAACAAAAGTATCTGGTTTTGACATGTATGCTTTTAGGTGAGCACATATACAAACATGTAGATAAAATATCCCACATCTGTGTGCCCATAATGTTAGTCAACAGGCTATCTTTCAAAGATAAAATAAAGACAAAAGTGTAGCTGTGTTATCTGTAACACAACTATTCTCAAAGTTTAAGTGTGAGAACTGCATTTGTTATTATGCCCAAGAACACTGAAAGTTCCTGACTCTCATGAGAGGAATAGCTACTTAATGTACAGTTTAATGCATAATATAGTCACTGCAGAAAATAGTAAATTTTACATAATGTTTGCTTTTATTATTTAAATGTAAATATCTTACCAAATGTATTTAATAAATACTGCTTTTACTGTTTGCACCCATTAGACTTTTTTCCCCATTATAAGCCAAGGTGACATCTTAGATCAAGGTGAAACTTTCACTGAACAAAATTTATTTCCTTAATGTAACTAAGTATAACTGCTCCTCCCTGATGCAGTCATTGCACAGAAACATGTATCAGATTACAATTAGTAGATATTAACAATTACTGCTTAACTAGTAATCACTTCCAAAAAGCATTAGTTTAATTATACCATCTCTTAATCTCAGGCAAAAAATGCAAATTTAATTCCAGTACGGCTACCTAAGAATGTAGACTTGAAAGATTTTACATATCTCACAAAAACTAACTCTAAATTGATTAAAGACTTATATATAAAACCCCTAAAACAGAGGAAAAAAGTTCTTTGACATGGATCTTGGCACTGATATTTCAGATATGACACCTAAAGCATAAGCAACAAAAATTAAAAAATAAACAAGTGGGGACTACATCAAACTAAAAACCAAAAATAAGCAATCAACAAAATGAAAAGTCAAACTACGGAATGGAAAAAAATTTGCAAGCCATGAATCTGATATGGTTCATATATCTCAATACTTAAAAAAAAAAAATGCGATTAAAAAATGCACAGATCTAAACAGACATTTTCCTAAAGAGCATATATGAATGGCCAAAAGGTACATGACAAGGCACTTAACATCACCAATCATCAGGGAAATGCAAATTAAAACCACAATGATAGCACCTCATGCCTATAAGAATGTCTAGCATTAAAAAAGAGACATGGAGTAACAATTGCTTCCAAGGAGATGGAGAATAGGAAACCTTGATGCACTGCTGATGGGGTTGTAAAATTAGGTACAACCACTATGGAAAACAGTATGGAGGTTCCTCAAAACATTACAAATAGAACTACCACATGATCCAGAAATTCTAATAATGGAAATACATCCAAAGGAAACAAATACACTTCACTGAAGAGATACCTGTATCCTCATGTTTATAGAAATATTATACCTAATATCTAAGACATGGATGAATGGAGAGAGTTGTGGGCTCTGTGTATTAGTATAAAAGGGAATATATATAATAGTATACATATATTTACATATATATGGAATATTATCTGGTCATAAATAAAGGAAATTCTTCCATATACATTTGCAATATTGTGGATAGACCTTGAAGGCATTATGCTAAGTGAAATGAGTCAGACAAAGACTTTGTTATCTTTATGTGGAATTTAAAGTAAACAAAAAACAAACTGAGAAGATCAGATTTGTGGTTACCAGAGATAAGGGATGGTGGGTGGAAGACTGGATGAAAGTGGTATAAAGGTACAAACTTCCAGTTATAAGATAAAGTATGAACCATCGCTAACACCCTATATGATCTATCTAAAGAGAGTAAATCCCGAAAGTTCTCATCACATGGAAAAAAACTTTTTTTGTATCTATATAAGATGATGGGTGCTAACAAAATTTATTTTGTTAACATTTCACAATATATACAAATCAAGTCATTAGACTGTACACTTAAACATACGGTGCTGTATATATCTCAGTAACACCTGGGAGAGGGGAGGAAGTAAGAGTGGGAGATGACCTTTTAAATTGCAGATATTGGTAGAAATCCAAGCTGGTATGCAGTGGGACCCAAGAAAAAAATTTATGAATCAAAGCATTCAAGAAGTCTATTATGGGCCAAAACTGCCTGCTAATTAAGACCATGACTGAATTATAAGGCAGGTAAAAGTATTTGCTGAGTCAGGATCTCTTCTAAGAAACAAATTTTGCAGAAATTTTAAGAAACAAAATGTGTATAGAAATACATTTTGTGAAAAAAAAATCATACATCTAGCATTAACAGTAAATGATTAGTGCTAAGACAAATATTTCAAGTCTTAAAAACACTATAAAAGTACAAAATGGAGAAGCTATGACTCAATGTTCACATGAAAAGGTGAGATTTAAATAACTGAAAACTCAATCTAAGATAATAATGTGGTCTTAAACTGTATTAATGGAAAGTTGATATATACACACAGCAGGCTAAAAGCTTTCATCAATTATTATATCACATATGGAACACTATACTCAGATTTTAATGTGTCATTTTAATTGGGGGGAGGGATGTTAGATTGAATTATTTCCAGAAGATAAACACACCAGATGCAGCAGGGTTTTGAAAGTAGGTCAAGTAAGAAATTCATTCATTCATTCAACAAACATGTACAAAATGCCTAATATATGCAAGATATAGTTCTGGGCCAAGAGACTAGTACTCAACAAGCCTGACAAAGCCCCCACTTTCATCAGGCTAACACACTAGTCAGGGAAGACAGACACTTGACTGAATGTTCACTAGTCACTAAACATGTAACTAGGTTAATTCATTTAACATTATTTGTGTCTCAATTTCCTTAACTATAAAAAACAGACTAACAAAACATAAACTGTAAGTTTGCTAATTGATACAAAAATCAAAGGAACCTTTAGGAGTTCAGGATAAATTTATTCAACTATCTGCTGTGCCATCTTACGACCATTTGTGGGTTATATAAAGTCAGAAATTACATGCTAAGTAAGTGTTGTATAAAAATAAACTTTTAGATTATTAAGACCAATTAATGGTTGCTAAGGAGGGGTTGGTTGCAGGGGTTGGTGAACTGGAATGGAAGTGGGGGGAAGCCTAAGGGGGTAAACTGAAAAGGGGGAATGAATTCAGACCTTTGACAATGACAATGTAGTATAAGATACATGCTGATTCTCAACAATGAACACCTGAAATTTACATAATTTAATAATGCAGTGTTATGTGAATAAAAGAATAAATAAAAGGAAGAAGTGTTATATAGAGCTCCAGGAAAAGAGAGGATCACTGATGGCTGGGAGTGATAGGGATATGAGTTTCCCTCAGTTGAAGAAAAATTTCAAAACAGTTCTTTCCAACAAGAGATGTATCTTTCTCCAAAATATAAAGTGGTTATAAAGTGCAGAAACACAGATATTATTTTACCTTTTTGCAGAAAGAACTTTCTGCTACTTCTACAACAAGATACAGGCTCAAGTATATCAGAGCCACAAATCATCTAAGGCAATGTAAGGATCACCCATGGAACATTTTTGGTTTTCATGACTAGGAATGTGGTACTACTAGCATCTAGCAGATAAAAGGCTTTCCACAGCATTCCACAATGCACAGGGTAGCCCCCTACAAGAATGAGTTAACCAGTCCAAAAATGTCAGTTATGCCAGGGTGAGAAACACTCATGTATTATCTCTTCACTATTTATTATGTATATTCACCATGTTTCCAGACTTCACGGTGAATCTCTGTGAGGTGACTGGTTAGCACAACTGCTTCCCTGGCATTTACCATGCTTCAGTAAATGGGAATACAACAATTCCATATTTATTGTCTGACTGTTCACTCACCAGAATAACTTTCCTGTTCTGAAAAAGTATTTCATGTTAATTTTCTAATTATTTTCCCTAGTAAGAACATCAGCTAGAAAGCTGTCCTTTAGCTCATGTATACACATAAAATATGGTGTGTGTATATATATATATTATATATACATAATATATAAATACATGGATATAAACATCTTAAGAATGATTTTTAAAATCAAATGCTTATTGAGAATTTCAGAGATTAGAAATAAAAGCTAAACTCATAACAAAGTGTCTTCTTGGACCAAAAGAACTCTAAATATCATTTTTTTTTATAATACTTCATTGAGATATCATTCACCTACCATATAATTCATCCATTTGAAGTGTACAATTCAGTAATTTTTCATACATTCATAGAGTTGTGCAGCCATCACTTTCTCTAATTTTAGAATATTTTCGTGAACCTAAAAATAAACCCCATGTGCATTTGCAATCATTTCCCTACCCTCCCACACTACCTTCCTAGCCATCAGCAACCACTAATCTACTTTCTAAATCTACAGATCTGCTTATTTGGACATTTCATATAAATGGAAATGTTCTTTGGTGCCTGGCTTCCTTCACTTAGCATCATGTTCTCAAGGTTCATCCACATTATAGCATGTATCAGATGCTTCTTTCCTTTTAGTTGCTGAATAATATTTCATTGTACAGATGTACTACAATTTAGTACAGTGAATATACTACATTCACTAATGGACATTTGGGTTATTTCTACAATTTGTCTATTATGAATGGTGTGAATATTTGTGTCCAAGTTTTTGTACAGACACATGTTTTAATTTCTCCTATGGATATACTTAAGGAGTGGAACTGGGTTTATACCTAGAGCCTGAGTCAAATAGTGCAGGTTTAATCTTTTGAGGAACTAACAAAGAGGCTGTAATACTTTTCATTCCCACCAACAGTGTATGAGGATTCCTATTTCTCTAAACATTCATCACCCTTGCTGTTTACTGCAGTCATTCAAGTAGGTATGAAACAGAATTCTGTTATGATTTTAATGTATTTCCCTGTGCTTATGAAGGTCATCCTTGCATGTGTTTATTAGTCACTCGTATATTTTTTGGGAGAAATTTCTATTTAAAAGGTTTCCCATTTTTAAATTAGGTTCTTTTTATTGAGATGTAGGAGAGAAAATAAAAGAATTTTCCATTTATGTAGCCATTTATCTTTCATATAATCTACAGTCTACAAATATTTATTTACTTATGTATTAAATATTTATTTTGTGAAAGAACTGGGTATAGACCAGAAGTGTGGGGGTGAGATAATTCACCAGAAACAGAGTGGAGAGTAGAACAGGCAGATCCACTAAAAGACACCGCTAAGGCGAACAGCGGGTGAGACAGGAGAAGTCTGCAACGCCACGTGGGTTAGCCCCCTGGCCAGGGATGGAACTCAGGCCATAGTAGTGACTGCATTGAGACTTAACCCCCAGGCCACCAGGAAGGCCCCTACAAATATTTATTACTATTTTTAAAGATTTTATATATTTATTTTTGTGAAGAATGGAAGTGTAGGCCAGAGGTGCAGGGGGTGAGAGGATTCACCAGAGACAGAGTGGGGAGCAGGGCAGATTCATTGAAATACACTGCGGAGGGAAGCAGTGGGGGAGACAGGAGAGGTCTGCTGCACCATATGTGAGCTATCTCCCTGGCTGGGGATTGAACTCAAGTTGCTGCAGTCGGCCATCACGGTGATAGTGCTGAGACTTAACCCTTAGGCCACCAGGGAGGCTTCACCATACCTATACTTACTGGTAAGATAAATTAGATCATTTGCAAGGCTCAAGAAATTTAAACATGACTCATTTACTCACATGAGGTTAAATATATAGTTTGGAGTAGAAGACAGAAGAACATTGTTAAATGGAGGCTCCAATCACTTTGTTTAAATCGTTAAAATAAATTTTAAAAATACGAGGAAATTTCTGGATCAGAAACCCCTACTACAAGGTCTTACGGAGTGTTTTGCAGTCTCTAATCACATATCTATCTGTAAGGGTGAGGGAACTAATTACAGCTCCACCAAGTGATGAGAGAATATATTTGGACAAAGGACGCTTGTCTCATTCAAGAACAAATCTCAAACTGTTCAGAGAACAGCCATGCCAAATCAGTCCATTGCTCTTGACAGAAAACTTCTCTGTTGGCACCCCTTCTAAAATGTCCTTTGCCAATGACTAACATTTGGGATTTACTTTTCCATTTTTCCCTTTAAATTAGTCTGTGCCTTCTCTATAGTCAACACCGCTCCCCTTTATAAAGTGTTTTTTGGAAACATAATCTTCCCATCTTCCTTTTCTATTAGGGCTATTCTTACAAGCCCAAATGATCAACTGTGATATTTATTTTCAGTTTTCTTTAATCTTCTTTTTACTGAGATCCTTAGCAAGCTCAAACACAACCCACTCCTCGTTTAATGAAATGGGTTATTATATATTACATATCAATTTAACAGATACTTATTAAACTTCTAACATGCTACAAAGTCAAAAGACACTCACCTGATTAAATATTTTTAAGGAAAAAAAAATTTAGCCAAAGAAGATTTCTAGCAATAACAGCTACCAAGTATCAAGTGCTCTCTATGTTTAAAGCTTTTATGCTAAGCATTTTAATCCTCAATATAACCTTTCGGTAAGAGGCACTATTATTGCCATTTTACAGATGACTTAAAGAAGTCAATTTCTGATGATTACAGCTATCAAGCAATAATGTTAACATTCAAACTTAGTCTGACATCACAGTTCTCACTCATAACACCTGCAGTACTTCAACAGGGAACTGGTTAATGGGAGGATAAGGAAAGATAATTTCTAAAATTAATGTGACAGGAAGAGAGCTCTTTCATTAGACAATTGCTTTTTAGATATGTCAACAAAAGCACAAGCAAAAGGAGGAATAAAGTGATCTTCTTCAAAATGAAAAACTTTTGTGCTTCAAAGAATACTATTTAAAAAGTGAAAAGACAACCCACAGAATGGGAGAAAATATTTATAAACCTGAAAAGGGACTTATAGAGAGTATATAAAGAACTAGGTATGACTTTTATGAAATAATGATCAGTAGTATGAGTTCCTAAAAGTAGTTAACAAGTAGAACTAAGAAACAAAATAATTTAATGTAAAACATTTTCAGACTACCAATCAAATTTGTTCAAAAGAGTAATTTAGTATCATTTTCTTAGAGTCCTCATGCACAGAAAATAAACTGCAAAGAGTTGATGAACTGGACTGAAGTTAAACAGAACTGAAAATGAACTTCTCCACCATATTCTACTAGCAGAGACCATTAATTTTCTTTTTTTTCTAAAGATTTATTTATTTATTTATACAAGCACTGGGTACAGACAGAAGCGTGGGAGGGTGAGAGAATTCACCAGAGCCAGAGGAGGGAACAGAACAGGCAGACCGACGAAGTATACTGCTGAGGGGAGCAGCGGGTGCTGCAGGAGAGGTCTGCGTACCATGTGGGACCCTTGCTGGTGGCCGGCCGGGGATCAAACCGGTGCTGCAGAGGCTGCGGGCAGCTTCGCAGCCCAGCACTCAACCACTGCATCACCAGGGAGGCCCGTGACCATTAATTTTCTACCATAAGAGGTAGAAAACTTAAAAAAAAAAAGTCAAAGTTTTAATTTCCCACATAACATCCAGGATGAGTGATTCTGTAAACAAATTTTAAACAATTTTTACTCCAAGTCAATCTCTGAAAAAAATTAATGATATCTAGCTAAATAACATTTAAGTAGCTATTATTTATGTTTACCACCAATCAGCTTAGACTGAAATTTCTAATTCTTAAAAAAATTAAGTACCTGGCATTAAAAATGTCAACTGAAAAATAACTTTGCATTTCATTTATTGAAATATTATTGCCATGCTCTTTTGGCTATAATTGTTAAGGTTAAATAATCCTAAAATATATAGCATAGCAAACTCCTCTATTTGAACAACAAAGATAAACAATCCTCAGAAAGAATTACCAATGACTACATAAGAGTGACTGTATAAAACTGTGTAAAAACCAAAATATGTTGACTAACAGAACTTGGAAAAAGAGAAGCATGCCAAGGAGGAAGCTGTTTAAATTATAATTGTGAAATGGCTAATTTATTAGATAAAACCAAGAGGTAAAAACATGCTACATTTTCATTTGAAATGACATGATGTGACTATAATGGTAACTATACACAGAAAAGTCAAAGAAATCAAGGACTTTTCTGAGGTAGTTACTTTTCTGGGTCATACTTACAGCCACAGAAGCCCACTGCCATGCAAAACAGTGACTGGTTGGCATCTGATCATGTGAGCGACAGCAGCGAATAAGAATAGAAAATAAGAAGCAGAAGACAAAGCACCACCAATCAATGTCAAGAGTTGCCATGTATAATATCCCTGCTATACACAAATACCAAGAAATAACTTCTACAATCCTATAATTGTCTATTTAAACTGGTTCCATATAAGTTGCTAAATTCTGTATTGAGTAGTAATCTGTTAGAATGCCTAATTTTAAAAATCTGTTTTTATTAAGCTTACACACAAACTTCAATATCAATGTACCTATCATTTTTAAACACTCAAAGCACATTTGCTGAAATATGAAATATTTTTATTTTAAATACAAATTTAAGATTTTATTTCTAAGTTTCTATGTGCAATATTCAACATCCAATGGACAAAACTGCATTTGTGGGAACATTCATTCTAATCCAGGAGTCCACTTCCTTACACATCCCCAAAAGATGAGAAGCTAATCAAAATATTTTGATTCATAAGCAAAAGTTAAAAAAAAAAAAAAAGAACATTAAGGTATAATGGCATTTTGTGAGAAAATTTCTCTAAATAAGCTCAACTCGCTGAAATAGTGGAAAACAAACATCATTAACTAGTAATGCAACAATATTGCAGTATAGAACATACCACAATATTTATAGAAAAGGAAGGACTCATTTGATTTTCTAACATCATCAAAAACAGCAGGAATGAAGTAAAGATACTGAAAATGCGAAGGTGGGATTAAATGTTCATGATTAAACTTACCGGTGCCATTCGTATTGCTGGGTGTGCACCACAACCTTGCACTGCTTTATGAAGGGTTTCACCGAACATATTTCGAAGTTCAACTGAATGACAATATACAGCATCAATCTTAGGCCACCAATCCAATGCAGACTGGAGAAAAACAGAGACCATAAGAAAGGGAAATTTGTGTCAGTTATATGCTGTTTCACTGTAGTTTTATGTTTTACCTTTTTGTGAGAAACTGTCCAAGACCATGCAAACACACACTATGATTTCCAAAGCTGTCAAATAATGCCAAATATCAAACACTAAACCATATATCTACTTTAAAATATAATAATGAGCATGAGACAAATCGCCCACTTCATGAGCATGATCAAATGAGACTGTCTTCTTACTGACAAACTAGTGAATCTGAAAAACATAGCCTTTAGAGAGCTAACTCTACAGCTAATCTTTTAAGTTTAATGTTGTATACATCTCAGAAACATATGCATATACAGTATATATTTTCCAAAATAAGAATGCTATTATCAAAGCTTTAAGAGATTAGTGGTTCAACACAATGTTGAAGGAATATGTGGCAAATCATTACTTACATGCCTACATACAGCAATAATTACAACATGAAATTAGTAGATGAGATAAAGCTATTACTAAACCTATAACCTTAAACTGATATACAATGATGGCACAATACATGGAAGACTAATGATCATCATGAAGACAAACTCAAACTAGCTAAATATTTTAAAAGGTAATTTTATGTAATTATTTTTCTATTCTACTTTAACATTGATTGTAGTTTTTAATTCCTATTTTATTTGAAAGTGTATCTTTAAGCATTACTTTCAAGTGTTTTACCATACTATAAAAAATGACAATTATGGAAATAGCAAACTATAAAATTTTTCTATCAGTTAATACATAACTGGATGGATTTTCATTACATATGGAGAGTATGCTTGGAATGGGGTGACAAAGTGCAGGCTTCCAACTTAAAATATTCCTGCTATAAAGAAATATTTGAAAGAATGACAATAAATTGATATCATGAATAAGGGGAATTTAATAGTTTTACATCCTACCCCAGGTTCCTTCTTATTCAAAACAGTCAAATTCTCAACAATTTCTTCACCCATAATTTTACAATATTTTGAGTGACATAATACCTTAATATAAAACCAATTCATGATACAGAGTTTGAATACTAAACTCCATTTAGGAAGGAACTCCAAAGCTGGGGGAAGAAGTACCTTTTTCAGGGATAGCTTCTCCCCCAACTCTTAACTTTATTTAAGCTAATTCCTAACAAATGATTATATAGAAAATTTCTTAAACTTTGGTCAATTTGATCATCTGTCTATCCAAAGCAATTACTACAGCCTGACTTTCATGTATTTACTAATTTGTATTAATTAGTTTAAAGTAATAAAGACTGAATAATACAAAGTGCACTGAGATAAGGGTTCTCCTCTACTGACCCCATATCTTGTCAGAAACTGATTAACTAAAGAATATTCATCCCATATAACATCTAAATTATTACATCATTTGATAGTTACTGAAATTGTATGGTGGTACCAAGTGCACCCTATAAACCATTGATTTTCACTTTATTTTCTTAATTGCCATTTTTCATCATATTTACATTCATTCATTTTAAACTAAAAGTTAAAGACACTCTTAAATAGGCACTAAAAATGAGACATGAAGTTGGTTAAAATTCCACTATTTTCAGCAATTACAAAATGTGTCCTTTCTAAAATAATCAATTGAAGCAGGCATTCTTTTTTTTCCTTGACAATACTAAGTTTACTGCCAAAGAAATGGCAATACTTTTACCAAATGAGCAAACTAAGTGGCAATTCTTCAAGATTACTTAAGTAAATTTTCAAATGCCTCATCTCATTCTCACTATGTGAACTATCTATAAGTAAACTTCAACTAAACCACCATTAGGAAAATACAGAATAGGAAGCACCATATCAGTATATTCCATTGATGACTAAGATATTTGGTTCATATTATTTGTTATTTTTTTAAATTTTACAATTCTAGCAATGTATCTAATTTAAAGGAAGCCTATAAAGATTACATACATAACATATATCTTATAACTCTAATTCATCTCTTACGGCATGCCACAATAAAAAAGGTGCCAGTGCTACCAGTACCATTTTGGAAATAGATAAAAGTTTACATTATAATAAAACTCAAATAGTTAATAGACTTTCAGGTTTCCTAAGAAGAAACAGTGGTATATTTTAGATCTAAACACAGCACTTATGAACAGAGTATGAGTATGATTCACAAAAACAAAACAAAATTACTATTTCCACATAACCCTCAAAACACATCAGTTAAACTTTTGTCTTATTTGACAATGTGGTAATATTCAAAATCTGTGAACTGGCTACAGAGCCATGGAAGAAGAGCTCTTATAAGGTGTATTGAACCAAAAATCATTAAAAAGAAATCTTACACTATGGATAAATTTTAAGTTGGGAGTCCAAACATCTTCAGAAAAATTTCATATATTATCAAGACAATTACTTCAAACTGACAATCATTACCCTTAAACTAAAGGGGGGGGGACCCTAATAAACAATTTATCAAATATCTGCAATGATGAAGTATCATTATCTAAGGTACAACTTTAAAGATACTTCAATTTATGTTCCTTTTTAAGCTATTTTGCTGACAGGTTACTGATGCTTAATATTTTAAAAATTAGTCAATATAGGTTTTCTTTCAAAAAAATAAACTTTGTATTGATGTGACCTCTGATACAGACACACTCCACCTTCACACATGCAGTACTTGTTAAAGTATAGAAGGATGCACAACCACTTCACCATATACACTGAGGCATGCATGAAGGACCACTCCAGGCATGCTTTAAACCCACAAAGGAGCAGCTCAGCCACTTACAGCAGTGCCAAGTCCATGCTTGAAAGTGCTCTATATATTCAATTGTAGACAAAAATATTTCACAATTAAAGTAACTAGCCACAAAGTATCAAAAAAGTATATACTTGGGTTCATTAAATACAAGTTTTAAGCATTTATGCAACTATCCACTCTAATAAAAAGAATGGTTTTAGTATTATAAGTCGAAAGAGAAAAAAAGTACTAATGCTTTATTTCTTAATTACACATAAACCTGAGGAGGAAAACCATTTTTTTAATGGCCTTGAAAGTAAACCTCAAGTATACAATATCCTGGCTCAAAACACTGGCAAAAGTAAAATAAAACCTTTTTAAGTTTCTAATACAAATATACCTTATTTAAAGGAAGATACATTAAACTTTCACTTTTGGAATAAATAGCAATTGATGTTACTTAATTCACTGGTATTCAACCGAGGGTATCATTCCCATTTTTAATTGCTCACAATGCCAGGGGGTGAGAGGACAGAAGTGGTATATAATGGTATTTAATGAAATGAGAACCAGTGGTGCTAAATGTCTGGCAATGAGCTCAGCAGTCCAGCATATCCAAGAATTATCCTGCCCAAAATGCTACTTGGACTCCATTGATAAAAATTAAACGTGTCACTAAAGAGCTTTATTACTAGATATTTTTCCCCTGCAGGAATGAATTAAAGAAAATGTGGGCAGTATTTCAATTCAACACATTGAGGCAAGTAAAGATAGGGAGGTATGGGCCTTCCCTGGTGGCACAGGCGGTTGAGCGCCGCACTGTGAGGCTGTCCGCAACCTCTGCAGCGCCAGTTTGATCCAACTGGCCGGAGAGGGTCCCACATGGTGCTGCAGACCTCTCCTGTCTCGCCCGCTGCTCCCCTCAGCAGTGTATTTTGTCAGTCTGCCTGCTCTGTTCCCCGCTCTGTCTCTGGTAAATCCTCTCCCCTCCCGCAGTTCTTGTATCCCAGTTCTTGTATAAATAAATAAAATCTTTAAAAAGAAAAGATAGGGAGGTATTTTTAACTCAACCATAAGAGATATATTCTTATAAAGGAATTTGGTTATTAATAGGACAAATATATCTAAGCTATTAATGATTAAAATTCTTTTTAAGGGAGGAAAAGGTTGTCTGATTTATACATAAGTATGAATATCTATAAATGGGTAAAGGCAGAGTTATGATAACACTTAAGAACTTTCAAAATATGATTATTTACAATGAAAAGAACTAAAAATAGGTCCAAATCTGATAAGCTGTTCTCTTTCTACTTAAAGTGCTCACATCAAGGTTGAAGGTTCCATATGTGGATTTTCAGGAGTTTATTTAGTCTGATACACTTTATATTATGTGAATACCTCTATTTATTAGCTCATTTGTATCAAGAAGACTAAACAGTATAATCAAATATGGGCTCACCATTTTTAAAATGTACTATAATGGGCTACAACATAAATACTTTAAACTGTAAGGTGACCAGTCAGATCAAATAGTGAGAGGGAGCTAAGAATATTAAAATAATATGTGAAGGGCTTTAAGATGAAAATGTTCAATTACATTTTCAATTGTATTATTCTCAAGGGCTTTTGATGAAAATGAAATGTTTTAGGTTTAATCTTTCTGAAGGATCTCATTAACTCCACTTTGCTTAAGGGCTCTCTCTCAGATTAAGTCTGAATATGAAAAATAGAATGTGCATCAGTTAATAGGTATAACCACCTGTGAGAAATCTTCCCATATCACTTATTTAAGTTTAGAACCTTTTATAAATAAGAACATCTTTTAAATTAAAAAAAAAAAAAAAAAAGGAAAGAAAAAAATTTTCAGTAATTTAGCAATACCTTTTGGACTTACATTGGTGATGATTCGATGGAGTGAATTTACCAGCACATAGTGAAATGTAGAAGGGGAGTTCTGAGCCAGGCAGATCTACAGAGGAAAGAAAAACCAGTAATTATTTCTATGAAGAAAAGTATTTGGTAATGCAAAAGAAGACAAAAGGAACAACAAAAAGGTTTTCATAAAACAGAATTTTTAAGGTCCTGAAATAAACATATAATATTGAGAAATACCAATAAATACCAATAAGGTGTAGCCTACTCATCTTGCTGGTCATTTCACATTTATAAAGAATCAACAATATCAGTAAGCCTAAGTGGATAAAAACCAATGCTCTCACCTTAAAGTGTTGGTTGTTGTGAGGGCTTATACGAAAGCAAGAAACAAGACAATCAATCATCAGATCCACATCTGCAGGCTGACTGCCTCTTGAGAATGGTTTACTTGGATTAAAAAGCAGATTCTATGAAAATTCCAACAGAAAACAAAAGCTTTAAGTAGCTGAGCAGTTCTTTTTTTTAACTAGTGTTTAGTATCAACACATCATCCACATAAATGGCAGTAACATTCAGAAGCCAAAAGAAAGCACTAACATTGAGATTCACTAGTCTGCTATAATTCTTACTATGTCATATAAGGTTCCTTCCAGGTCCTAATTTCTACATTATTAAAAACCCAAATCTGAATATTCCAATTTATGAAAACTGGTTGATTCTATGTTATCTTCACATTATGAACCACTTTTTGAAGCCCAAGAAACATATTAGTAACAAAAGTAGATACCGTAAACTTATAGTCAAAGACACTCAAATTTATTGTTAGCAAAGATCTTCAATAACCATCCAGTATGCTTTTACTGCAGGGCAATTTTTCATTAAATTTTTCTTAAAGCTTGTAACAGAGAAATAATAATCATGTTACCTTAAGATCAGCCACCATGGACTGAACTAGTAGGAAAATGACAGAATTATCTTCCCAATTGATGTAAGTACTTGCTTTGCACAATTTGACACAGGCAATTGCAGCACTTTCAGTCAGCTGTCGGCTTCCTCCATGACCCGCAAGTGTTTTTCGTAGACTGTCCAAAAACAACTTCTATAGAATTCAAATATAGCAATAATAAATGAAATTGCTTAATTTCAGATTTACCTGATAAAATAGCAAATTATCAGTCTCTAAAAAATATATTCTAAAAATACATAATTGATATTTGTGGCTTTTTACTTAAAAACTTAAGTAAGTTGTTGACAACATTAAAATGTTTCTCAAATCCAAAATATGTTCACTTTCTAGTACTTCAGTACTAGAGAAACATAAATAGGGGCCTCGGGCCTCCCCGGTGGCGCATCGGTTGAGCGCTGGGTTGCGAAGCTGCCCGCAGCCTCTGCAGCGCAGGTTCCATCCCTGGCTGCTCCCCGGCCTCCGGAGGAGGGTCCCGCATGGCGCACAGACCTCTCCTGCCGCCCGCTGCTCCCCTCAGCAGTGTACTTCGGTCCTTCTGCCTGCTCTGCTCCCCGCTCTGGCTCTGGTGAATTCTCTCACCCTCCCCCGCTTCTGACTGTACTCAATGCTTGTATAAATAAATAAATAAATAAATCTTTTTTAAAAAAATAAAATAAAATAATGAATAAATAAATAAATAAATAGGGGCCTCCCTGGTGGAACAAGGGTTTGAGCACAGTACTGTGAGGCTGTCCGCAGCCTCTGTGGCATGAGTTTGATTCCCCCGGCCAGCCAGGGAGCTACCCACATGGTGCAGCAGACCTCTCCTGACTCGCCCACTACTCCCCTCAGCAGAGTATTTCAGTCAGTCTGCCTGTCCTGTTTCCCGCTCTGTCTCTGGTGAATTCTCTCACCTCCCGCATCTCTGGCCTGTACCCCAGTTCTTCTATACAAAAATAAATAAATCTTTAAAAAAAATAAAAAAGTAATAATTCCCCAGTCTCTTTATTAAGTGCTTGTGGGAAAACCGGAAAGCCACACATAAAAGAACGAAATTGGATTACAAATGGATTAAAGATTTAGATATCAAGACCCACAACAATAAAATACTCAGAAGAAACACTGGTAATACATTCCATTATATCAAAAATAAAGATATTTTTGGTGACTCAACCCCAAAAGGGAAGGGAAGGGAATTACCAAATAAACAACTGGGAATTACCTCAAGTTAAAAAGCTTCTAAATAGCAAAAGAAAATAGAAGATGATTAAACAGGCACCCTACTGAAAGAGAAAAAAATATTTACACAATATATAACTAATAAGGAGTTAATATACAGGATATGAAAAACTCATATAATTCATCAAGACCCCAATCAACAAATAGGCAGTATATATGAACAGAAAAATTCACCAAAAAGGACATCCAGAGGGCCAAAAGTATTATGAAAAATGTTCATCATAACTCATAATAAGAGAGGGGCCTCCCTGATGGGGCAAGGAGTCAAGTCACAGCACTATGACTTAGGAATACTGATGAACAACCCTCAAGAAGAACCTGCAAATGTAATTCTATATCAAAAGGATATCAAATTCTATATAAAAATTCTTTATCAAATTCTGTATCAAAAGGATTATACACCATCACCAAATGAGATTTATTCCAAGAGCAAAAAAATAGTTCAACAACAAAAATCAATGTAATATACCATATAAGTAGAATGGAAGGAAATCTTCACATGATCATCACAATTTGTGCAAAGAAAGTATTCACCAAAATTCAACATCTTCTGAATTAAGCTCAGTGAAATAAGCCAGAAGGAAAAAGAAAAATATCAGATGGTTTCACTTATAGCAGGAATACAAGGGAACCAAGTAAGACATCAGTGTAAAAAAAATATTAACAGTACAAAACACAACAAAGCAAAAACGGACAATTATAATTCAGAGACATACTGCAGGGGAGGAGGAGGGAGAGGGATTATAGGGTGGGAGGGAAGAGCACCGGGGACTGAAGTGATGGTGCACAGGTGCATTAGTGAAGGAAACAATGGGGACTACACCTGAGGGGGTGGAGGGAACCAAATATCATTTAAAAATGAACAATGATATAAAAACAATTAATATAAAAAAGAAAAATCTTACACTTTTGCATTATTAAAAAACAAACAAACAAAATTCAATACCTTCTCATAATACAAACACTGGATAAGCTAGAAATATATAAAAAAAAAATCCTTAACATGGTAATAGTCATATGTGGAAAAACCCACAGTTAACATCATACTTTAATGATGAATTACACTACTAAAATTAGGGGAAATCTCTACAGCACTGTATTTGGCAATGATTTCTTGGATATGATACCAAAAGACACCAGCAACAAAAGAAAAAAATAGATAAAATGGATTTCAACAAAATTTTTAAGATTTATGTATCAAAGAACACTATCAAAGAAGGTAAAATGAAATTCACAGAATGAGAAAAATATTTATAAAACATGATTCTGATAAGAGATTGACATCAACAATTAATACTCTACAACTCAACAACAACATAACACAAACAACCCAATGAAAAAACAGGCAGGAGATAACATACTTCTCTCCAAAGAAGATCTACAAATGGCCAATAATGTTCTCAAAAATTGCTTATCATAATTAGTCTTTAGGGATGCAAATCAAAATCATATTTAGATTCCACTGCATGTACAAAATTTCAAGGAGGTAAACAAAATGTGGTATAAACATACAATGGAATATTATTCAACCATAATAAGGAATGAAATTGATACACACTGCGACATGGAAGAACCCTGAAAATGCGTTAAATGAAATAAATCAGAAATACAAGAACAAATATTATATGATTTCACTTATGTAAGATACCTAGAAAAGGCAATCACAAAGGCAGACAGTAGGTTTACCAGAGGCTGGAGATATAGAGTGGGAAGTTTAATGAGCACAGAGTTTTGGTTTAAACTTTTATGTTTCTTTACAACATATAAATAAATAAAAATTTTAAAGCTAGGCTCACATTTCCTCTGAACCAGCTCCCACTTTCAACCTCCCTTTGGACTTTTCCTCATTGCCTAAAGAATAAAATTTAAACTCAGATTGGATCAGTGTCGTTTAAATTACTCACTTCTGCCTCTTATCTGCATTTCTTACTACTACCTGCATAAATCTTCCACTATAGCTAATTTTCTGAACATACCTTCAACATCCTTACATCCATTTTCTTGATTACCCTGGCTTGAAAAACACTCTCTCCTCCTATTATCTAAAATCTATTCTCAAATAATCTAAAATCAAATTCGTGGAACTAAGATTCCACACTTCTTCCATAAAACTTTCCTCAACATACAAACTTCTTATGATTTTGTATTTTGGAGAACCACTTTACTTTGAATAGTACAAACATACTTTCACTGGTAACAAAATAAGCGTATCTTCAATCAGTTTGTTCTCAATCCAAAGAATAACACCTCTTACTTAATTAGCATTTACTTTTTGCCTTAAAATATTCCTAAATCCATCCATGTCAACTTTGGGGTTTTAATCTTGCCTGATATGAAACAGGGTAAACCTCAATAGTGGCCAAATTCCTAATTTTTGCTGCTGAACATTTTTTCTTGATCTTGCTCTGTGATTCCATACATTCCAGACTGTTTGATGGATTTGTAATAAGCTTCCCCAAGATGAAGGGCCTTTTATTTTTCCTTGTTTGCCTGAAATTTTGGGTTGTATTCATCTTATTAAACAAAAAAATATGTTCCAAAAATGGCCACAAGTTCTACTAAAAATCCTTTATTTAAATTATTTAAAATTAATTTAGTTAAATCCTTTAATTCCCTTAAAATCTTATTTTCCAATGGTTCCACAGTACAGGCCATCCTGCACATTCATGTGAGTTCTTACAGCACATACAACCTGTATTATTCCCCTAGTAAACAGGTACTATTGATAGTTAACTTCTCATCCATTAAGAAATAACTGGGAATTCTAGGAAGACAGCAGTCTAAGCCATCTCCTAACTCTAATTCCTTGGTGTAGTAATGTGACTGAGTTCTACCCAACAGAATGTAAATGAAAGTGATGCATGCCATGTCCAGGTCGGGCCCAAAAAATCCTCAGCATGCTTTCCTGCATTATGTTTTTCCCTTCTGGCTAGGAAAATGGAAATGACTCCATTAGAAATCATGTATTGAAGACTGCAGAGTCTTTGCTGGTGAAGGTCCTAAGAAACCACAAAGAGGAGGGCCATTCTACAGTTGTTCAGTTTAGCTACTCAATTTTATTTCAAAAGTAAAAACAAGTTTTATTATGTTCAGCTATTATACTACCTACATTGATACAATAAAAATACAATAATAAAAAAAATTTGAAACTGAAAAAGAAAATCACTTCTCATATAGTCTGTAGTCGGGGATGATCAGGGTCCTATTTTCTATTAGTTTCCTTGCTTGCTTTTAATAAAGAACTAAGTGTAATTACCAAACACTGGGAGGAGTTCTACACAATGCCAAAATCTAATGTTACCAGAGGGAATCCACCCAGTTAAACCAACTTTTTCCCAAAAGAACCCCTCCCAGGTCCTACAAGCTAATTCTAAACGCAGATTTAATGATTTACATTTACTTCTGTGTCCTATGGATATGATACATAATCAACCCTGACAACCATGGAATATTCTTTAAAGTTAACATGTGCCACCATTCCCAAAACACAATTGAATATTTTAAATCGCAAAAAGTCTCTAACAAATTGAAATTTTAAAGCAGTCTTCTAAATTAAATATGATCATTAAAATAAGATAGTGATTAACTACAAGTTAATAAAATTGAAAACACTTCATATGAGAACTGACTGCCACTTGTAAAAAGTAAAATTCAAAGTGTTACAGAATTATTACATACTTTTTTTAAAAAACTGAAAGCAAATGAATTCAAATATATATATATGGATATATGTGTAAAACAAAATCTAAAATTAATGAAATAGAAAATAAAAAATGCTAGGAAAGGCTAGGCTATAAAGACCAATAAAAAAGTTTCAGTAAACATGAGTGAAAAGTGAAAAATAGTAGAAATGAGGAAAGAGTTATAAACATAGATACTGACAAAAATAATTGCAAGAAAATACTTTTTAAGTA